TCCCTCTGGGCGATACCCACTGTCGCGAAAGGCTTCAGCAGACCGTAGTAATGCTTGTTGACGAGTAATAGCTGTGAGCTGCCTTCGCCCTGGGTTCGAAACCATCTGTAACAAATATTTTTAAAAAAAAATTTCCTGTTAAATAATATGTAATACTTTGTAAAATAAATTCTATTCAAACTCTGTTAATGAATACAGGTGTTTTATTTCCCAAAAGCTATTGTTCCGAGTAAACAAAGGGGTTTGAATGTTATCTAAATCAGACACCTGACACCATGACTGTGTGTTATATGAGACGGAGATTAGAGGTCAAATACTTTGGTGCTGCTAGAGTGGAAAAATACGGTGCAGAGTTAAACAAGATTTAAAGATATTCCTGGATACTATTACAATTCAGAATACGTTAAAACAGAATACTGTAGTACTGGATCATCGTAATCCCGGCACCACCCACATCTTCACACCCCTCCCCTAACCTTATTCTTCTAAATTGCTAGTCTGTAAAGTTGTAACAGTTAAAAATCAACGTTGGCTATAATCGAGATCAAGTTCCTTAAAAATTAAAGAAAATTTTTACTTATTTTTGTGTGTGACTGTACGCATGTGTAAATATAAATCGAGCAAACACATCATCATTAAAAATTGAGTTATCAGAGCACACAAGAAACACGCAGCTTATCTGCACTCTATGAGTTATACAGCAATGACAGTCAGGCTTCGACCTATCACTACTGATGGTTGCATTGAATTAATCGAGGGCTGCACATCATAAAGTTTTTTAGACGTACCGAAGCAAATCGGAATTTGTATATCTAGAGCACGTCTATTTTTGGGGATTTTTCCAAGGCGGAAGATAAATTATGCCCTGTAGGTGTCTAAACATATTCTCGTAAAACGATTTTAAATTTTAATGGACTATCGACTTCTTAAAACAGCCTACTAATAAGTTTGAGCGACCCCAACCCTTCCCCAAATAATGTCGTTGATGTCGTATATCAAAAGGCCAGTTTTAGCATCAGTTATCATCGCTCCAGGTTCAGACAGTATTTACGTTAAAGCGACATATCAAATACTTTGCTTAGGAAAAGAAATCCATACAAACTAAATCTTCTTAACCATTTCCCAAATAAACATGTGTATGATTGACTCTAAAAATCTAAGCTAATTAAACTGGCTTGCTATGGGTTGTATATATTATACTCTTTAATGCGGACTGCCAGTATTTAAACCTTGCCATCCCTATAGTAAGAACTAGGTACGACTTTTTTTGTAATTGCATACGCCTGTAAAAGTTCTGAACTTTTTTTACTGTGACCAATCCTATCAATGAAGTTCTGACCAATCCTATCAATGAAGGTGTGACCTTGCTGTTTTTGCATAGGTCTGTAACATCTGACCTTTTAAAAATGTGTTAACCCCTTTGATTGTCCCAATCCCTAACCACCTGAGCGTGAAAGCCGCAGGTGTGTGGACAGGTAGTTCTGTGCGTGGGGGCTAAGTATGACGTGGGCCATTGGAACCAGCGATGCACAACGGTGGAATAGTTCCTGCTCTGGTGCTCCTGTCTTTACTTTAAACCTGCGGGGGCGTTCGATGGCACAAGTCAGTCGTTTTGTATTGTTATGCAAGAGCAGAGGTTGGGAGGAGGTGGGGGGGGGGGGGGGGAAGGTTATCCTTTGTCTAAAGATTTCAGTTTGGTGAGGTTAACTAAAGTCATAACAATGTACGGAAAGGGGACGGCGGAGGGGTGTTACATAATATTAAGTGTAGGGTGTTAAGTGATATTTAATATTTAACTTATATATGTAAAGGTAACAATCAGTGATAGCATTATCGGATTTAATTTAAACATACATAACCGTTTACATATATAGTCGTATAAATTGCAAGACATCAATGAGAGCTTTAACGATTTGTTATTTTGAGATTTTTAAAAAATTACACAACATGTTAAAACACATAGACAGTATACTCTCTCTCTCTCTCTCTCTCACTCTCTCTCTTTATATATATATATATATATATATATATATATATATATATATATATATATATATATATATATATATATAAAATAAGATCTTAATGTCAATATACAAACTATATTTGGTTAGCTACAAAATAGAAGGCAGAATAATCATTTTAATTTGGTTGCCACCTTAAAAGTCTCTATGTTAGATCACAGACTCAGGTCTTTTGTTCTGACAACATTTTAATAGATCTACTGGTCAGAATTTTACAAGGTCTGAGAAAACGTAATTTTTAGAATGCAAAAGTTTCAAAATTTACCATGAACTTTTTTTTTCCTTGAAAGCCATTACAATTACCTCATAACAAACGTTTTTTTTACATGAAGAGCAAATACTTAAAATTTGGTGGGTATTGTATTATTAATTTAAAAAACGATTATTAAATAGCCTACATAAGAACTCCAGCTTTCCAATGATGCCAAATACAATGTGATGTCGATTATCAAACTTATCGCAGAGAACGTGCAAGATTCAATATGGTCATAAAAAAATTTACTTTAAACACTTTAAAAAATTCCCATAAAAGTTGTTATTTTCTAAATACAAAAATGAACGAAGTGTCAAAACCTGCAAGAAACCCTTTTTGACGAAAAATCAAGATTTTGGTGATTTATTTTATGCGCATATCCTTATAAACCAGGGCCCCGTTTCAACTTAATCCACCCTCGGCAGAAGCCAACAATTGAAGCCATACCCACCCTCTGAAATCGCCAACACAACGTCGCGTACACCTGTAACAAACACCAGCAACAAACGCTCGCGACTTACCTCCATGGCTGAAAGGCGTCTTTACGTGAGCGCTTGCTGAGATCGAAATCCGAACTGACGTTCACAAACTTGATGTGGTACTCCAAGATCCTCGTCCCGCTGTCCTTGTTGAAAAACTGGTAGATGCTGTCGATGAAATGGGTCTCGTTTGTTGGTGTAAACTCACATAAATGAGTCGCTGAAGGTTGCTGTGGGTTAGCCCAACACAAATGAGAACAGAGAACGAAACAGCAGAAGAAGGCAGCCCACAGCTTAGATGTACTCATTCTGATCTGGTCACCGTACACACGAATGTTTCACGAGGAAATGAACGACACATCTGTAAGTCACCCCTGATGCCGCCAGACTGACACGGCTGAGGAGACCTGTGGGTCCCAGAACACCACGTTGAGACAGGAAACCGATGAGGCGTGACAGACGCGGGGGTGGACTAGGGACACCGGGACAAACCTGGTGGGCCGCAAGGAGAATAGTCCTCTGCCAGGATAGGTGATGTCATAAGCCCACTAGCGCTCTGATTTACAAAAAAAAGATTTGGTTGAGTAATCTCACAGCACTGTGTTTGCACTTTTCCACCCCCCCCCCCCATTTTGTTTCATGCTCTGCTGCATAAAGTTGGCTTTTTTAAATCCCGTTCCCTCAAACAAGGTTGCAATTTACACGGAACCAAATAAAGCTTCCAAGAATTAAAAGATAGTATTTAAAAATTATATATTTTTAAAAATTACTGAAGTGTACAGCACATTTTTTTCAATCTGTGGATTCTTGTTTTCAAGTGTAAGTAGTTTTATTCTTTTGCACAATCATCACGCAATCATAAACAGTAACTACCACCCGATAGAGACTCTAGTAGTCTTTCATTAGTTCTTTCCCTTGGACTATGGAATTTTTTAAATTCAAATTTAATTTTTTACCATTATTTTAAGTTACTTGTGTTGCTGTTGCTCTCGAATGTTCCTACCACACCCGCATCGTAACCCAAACTGTGGTGTGTGAGGCGGGCAGACGATAAAAGCCTTGATTATGCCACTTATAATCCTCGTCTCTTCTTGTAATAGTTTTCTTATTTTTGTTGCTTAATTTAACCCCTCGAGCTCTTTTCAAAATATTTCCTGTGTTGTTGACCCAGCCAATAAATAATGAGATAATGTAATTAGGGTTAATCTATTTTACCTATGATGACTTAGCTTATATATTATTAACAATTAACAAATATTGTTCAAAATAAATAAACGAATTGATTTCTGTTACAAGTTATGAAACATTCTTTAAATGGGAAAAACGTTTAAATTGTGTTTTAGATTATTACCCACTAGACCTCCGCCCCATCAGTTTTGTGACGTCACGGTATAGATGACTTATTAGTAAACACAACAGCACAAAACACATTTAGCCAACTGCTTACAAGCATAGTAAAATTAAACGACGAAATTGTATAGTTTTTTTTTATTGTATGTAAATCACAGAGGAAAGAAATAATACTGTTCGCATCAATTACTTATAACAAAGTATTGTTATTTATGTCTATTATCCATGTCCTGAAAATTCAAAGCCAAAAACAATTAATTACAATAAATACGCATCTATTAATGTTTCCCTCATTCTTGTGGCAAAAGTAAATGTAAAAGTATTGTAAATTTTTGTAACAGTTTTTAAATATAATAATGTCACACGTGCCATTTTATTATTTAACGACTGTACAAGAAAGATTATAGATAAAATATGGTAAACAAATTTGACTGAGTTGAGAATTAACTGGATCTTGGGGTAGGGAAATCATGTAGTAATGGGAACATGACGTAAAGGGGTCATGGGGTTATAGGGTCATAAGGGCCATGAGATCATGTGCTTATGGGATTATGAGATTATCTACTCGGGAACTCTGGGGGCTGTGTGAATTATGAGATTATGGTATATTGGTGACATTGTATAAAGGGATCATGGTATAATGGTATCTATAATGGGGCAATGATACAATGGGGACGTAGGGGTCATGGTATATTGAGGCCATGGTATTATGGGAAAAGGATATAATGGGGTTATGGTATAATGATGTCATGGTATAAAAGAGTCATTGAATAAAGTGGTCATGAAATAAAAGTGGTCATGATATAATGAGGTCATGTTAGAATAAAATAATGGTTTAAAAGGGTCATGGATTAAAGGGGTATTGATAAAAAAGGGGTCATGCGATCTGTAAGTTTAAACGTCAGAGTGCGCGTCATTAGGCGCAGAGACGTCACCACGAGCTGATGGGTCACCCCCAGCAGACGATCTAACTTCCGGTATGCTGGAGTCATTGACCGCTGGTGGGTAAAAATCCTGTTGTCTTGACCGACGCCTGTATCGAGCCTCGTCGTCAGAATCGTGTTCTTCGTCTTTTGTTAGATTGATTATATTGTGTATAGCGTTTTCAAAAATGTGAGCATCGATACTGTGCAGAATCGATTTCTTATTCTCCTCGTGATCCCTGACCACCTGGTCACGTTGCGCCTGATTGTCGTACGGTCTCGCGATCTGTTTCCACCTGTACGCACCTGTGTCTGCAGGTGTGTTCGCAGGTGTGTCCACAGGCAGGCCGGCCTCCACGTCACTGGTGCTCACCGTTACGTCACCATTCACCTGGTTCCTCTCATTCCGGACCGTGTTGTCTCTACAACACCCGGGGCTGATCTTGGATCCGAACCTGGTACTGATGGCTCGCCTGGTCTGGGGTCTGTCAGGTGCCATGTCAGACAGGTCCAGAACTAGGTCCACGGTGTTCATGTCATTGATTGTACCATTTGGCACGACTCCCGTAGAATTGATCTGGCCACCTCCTGTCATGGCTGATACAGATGGGTACAAGCTAGACACACCGCTCACAACGATGTCGTCCACCTCCCAGGATTGACCGAAAGATTCGATTTTCTCTTTCAGCTGGGATTCGAACCTGGTAAAAAGGATGAAAAGAGTGTCTTTTAGCTTTAAGTGATATTAGTTTAGATAACTTTGTACTAGAAAACTTTTGAATTAATGGTTTAATCCGAACTGCTAGCTATATCTACTAGTCTTAATCAAATGTATCATTACACATAGCAATAGCTATAAAGACAGACTTTTATTTAGCAAGCTTAATGACACTATAACCCACTATTAGATTTATCTCTAAACCTGTAATCAGACTCCCCTAATCCCCATTGACCTGTAAATAATAAGCCCACCCCCCCCCACACACACACTTAACACATCCCCCCCCCCTTCGCAGTGTTTCTGCCAGACTTTTTTCTCCGGGGGGTGTGAGGTTGGGTCGGACTAAAAGTTTTGGATAGCGGACACTGTTAAAAGTATATATTTATATATTTTCTATTTAAATACCATTTCGTTGGGGGGGGGGGGGTAGACTCTCTTCGTCGGGGGCTCTGCCTGGAAAAAAAAACCTGTCGCTTCGCACACTGCCCTGTAACTAGACCCTATCCGCAGCTTATAATCAGACCCACACCCCACCACCACAACTTGTAATCAGACACCCCCCCCCCCCCCACTGACCTGTAATCAGACGTATTAACCACTGGTACTGGCTGGCTGCTACTGAAGATGTTCCTGATGACGAGGGGGATGAGACCGGAGACGAGGGTGACAAACAGGTGGTTGGTGGGGGACACGTAGTAGGCGCTGCCGTACGCCATCACCACCAGGAAGACGAACAGCAGGAAGATGCCGATCTTAGCAAACTCCAGCCCTGCCTGGTGGGGAGACAAAATTTCTTTGATTACTTTTAGAAATATTCTTAGTTTAAAGAAAATACAATGTATTACATTACAATATCTTAAAGACAAACAAGTATGGATAACCGGTCTAATTGAACTTAGTTAATTTCTTTGCGCTTAATTTTTTTTTAAATTTTTTCACAAGTAACTACCAACTCGTATATTTTATAAATGTATGGCAGTAACTGCTACCAGATAGGATTAATATACGGGCCAGACCTATTCGTCCTTTATCTCACACTGTACAGTACAAAAATTATATTGAAATATTGTTATTACATAAACATTTGTCTGAAAGTGAGACCATTTTCTCGGATGTAAGCCTCAATATGATGACACGGAGTCGACTCTATGACTGTAACTTGTTTCATTGACACTGTTAAAACACTCTACCACAGGATATGGTTACCTGTAAGCTACGTGACGTCACATGTAGAACACTCAATTTGACCTTGCCTCACCTGCACGACATGTAACCAATGCACCTGTAATTTACCTTGACTCACCAGCACGACATGTAACCAATTCACCTGTAATTTACCTGAACTCACCTACACGCCATGTAACCAAATCACCTGCACGACATACAAATACAACCAAATGACCTACACGACATGTAACCAAATCACCTGCACGACATACAAATACAACCAAATCACCTACACGACATGTAACCAAATCACCTACACGACATGTAACCAAATCACCTACACGACATGTAACCAAATCACCTGCACGACATGTAACCAAATCACCTACACGACATGTAACCAAATCACCTACACGACATGTAACCAAATCACCTACACGACATGTAAACAAATACCTGTAATTTACCTTGACTCACCTGCACAACATGTAACCAATTCACCTACACGACATGTAACCAATACACCTGTAATTTACCTGAACTCACCTACACGACATGTAATCAATTCACCTGTAATTTACCTGGATGTAATTCTCCTCCAGCTCCCCCGGGGCCCCAGCACAGTCCATGGAGCAGCAGTGAAAGAGGAACTTCTTGGACATGAACAGGAAGTCATCCTTGTTCAGGAACAGCAGCAGCTGCTTCAGGTGGAGCCGGATGTTCGAGTTCTTCACGTTAAACAATTTCTTCGTCTGCTTCGTCACGTTACTGGCGTCTGCTCGCACCAAAGTTGCATAACCTACAGCGATAAATAATTGTCATTTAAAAATAATACTCGTAGTTTATAATAAAGACAAAGAAATAAAAACCAAAGAATTATCTATATTGATGTGCTAAGCGGAATTACAAAGCCTTTAAACCCACAAATTAGTAAAAGGCTTTTCTATGGTGATAACTAAAATGGTATATTTTTTCTTGAAGCTTTAGAAAGGCCTATTACTATTTGAGTAAGCAATACAATGCGTTTTCGAACCTTTAAAAATGCAATTATTTTTCAGTTTCAAATTAGTTTGTCTTTCTATAAAATATCTTAGTAGCAAAATGATATTTAAAGCTATTTTAGTTTTTTAAAGGTATGCATGTCTCTTGTTTCTCGCTCACCTTTCTCTCTGTTCAAAGGCGCCTTCACGACCTCATCGTCTGGGTCAAACGGGACGGCCTGGGGACTGATCTTGAAGACTTTGCTGATCTGCTGGTCCCAAGACTTGAGACACTCCCTCCTGAGGTCCTCGCTCTCCTTGTTCTTGACGGTGCCCAGGATGGTGCCAAGGAAGGCGTCGTACTTGGCGCCGACCCGGCTGAAGGAATCCCTGACGTAGATGAGCAGGATCAGGACCACGGGGACCACACGGTAGATGAGGTCCGCCTGCACGACCACTGTCACGATAGACATGGCCAGCACGTGAACAAGGAAGTTGGCGCCAATCGTCATCACGATGAAGACAAAGGTCACGGTCACGAAGAACCAGAAGATCTCGCACGCGTTGTAGAAACGTTTACCTTCATCCGGGTTCTGGTTACACCCCCGGGCTTGTTGTAGCAGCTTCTTCCACGCTTGGATGACGACGTTGATCATCGGAGCGTGGTAGATGAAGAGGACGAGGCCGATGATGGGTAAGATAAAGATAGCGAGGATCCAGATTGGGATGATGAGGATGCCGCACTGCCGGATGGGGTTGCAAGCCGTGCGGATGATGCTCCGGGATTTGGACATTCTCTTGCTGAGCTGGTCCTTCTTCTCGGCTACATCCAACACGTCGCTGTACAACCTGCTGATGTTCTCGTCTGTCGCGCCGTCGATGATGAGAATAACCACGTGAAGCACGTACATAAACGCGAGTACAGCGACCAGAACTTTCCCGAAGATTGGACCCACGTAAAAGTTGAAGGTCATCTGAAGACCTTTTTCCTCGAATGTTCGAGAAAGATTTTGATATTCCAGGTCGTCTGCGCTCATGGCGTACATGAAGGGCAAGGAAGGGGCGGCGACCAGTGCCATGACCAGGACGGTCCTCACAGGTTTGAGCCAGGCATGCCATGAGGGGCAGCACGTGCAGATGTGGTTCCCACAGATGGACGTCCTACAGCAATCTTCAAGGGGATCACTGTGACGTAGCTGTCAACAACATTGTACATTGTCATCACATTTTTCTAATGTTTAAAAAACTCAAAACTCAAATGGTTTGTCTGTTTTATTAATTAATAATTAATTAATTCATGTGGGTATTAATTATACTGTCTTAAGAATGTTTCTCATCACAAAACAAGCCTCAATATAAATGGTCCTTTTGAATCGGCAATGGCTGTCTTAATAAATTAACAAAGGTTCAGTAAATGTAGCTTACCCCTCCCCCCCCCCTCCACCAACACTCATATCACAACAAAAAGAAACTCCACTTTTCCCAGAATTAAACCTTTACGGTAAAGATCAACACCTTATAGGACTACATCACAACGTCAATGCGAAATACAGAACTGTTTTTCACTACACAGTGTCTGACACCCCCCACCCCCCCCCCCCCCCACCCTCTAATCTATCTACTCTAACCACTTCCGAACTATAGGCCTATGGTATTCATAGATAGCAACATAATTTTAAACATAACCCAGCCCCAACTTTGCCTATTGTGTGTGAAAACTATTCCAGAACTAGATGATTTCATAAATCTAGAATTTAATTTATCGAGCCAATGGCATGTTATAGACATTACATAACTGTATATACATCTTTGAGCATGTTCAGAAGCTTGAGCGTACCTTGCATCTGACGAAGGCATCAAACAGCGACCTCCACATGCTGACGGCCGACCCTCCCTCACTTAACAGTTTATCCGTGCAGACGTTAAAGTTGACCTTTTTGACCTTGACCGTGTAGATCACTTCCGGCTGGAGCCGGCACATCTCAGAGGCAAACGTCTTCATCTGTTTCCACAGTCGTGACGTCAGAATCTGTGCCTTCTCCATTGGTCTGTGTGACGTACATCCGGTCAGGTGAAGAGTGGAGTAGATAGTACACCAGGGTTAACACAGGTACAATATGTATTAGGGGAATACATTTTATAAAGGTGTAGAGTAGATTAGATGGTACACCAGGATTAATGCAGGTACAATATGTATTAGGGGAATACATTTTATAAAGGTGTAGAGTAGATTAGATGGTACACCAGGGTTAACACAGGTACAATATGTATTAGGGGAATACATTTTATAAAGGTGTAGAGTAGATTAGATGGTACACCAGGATTAATGCAGGTACAATATGTATTAGGGGAATACATTTTATAAAGGTGTAGAGTAGATTAGATGGTACACCAGGGTTAACACAGGTACAATATGTATTAGGGGAATACATTTTATAAAGGTGTAGAGTAGATTAGATGGTGCACCAGGGTTAACACAGGTACAATATGTATTAGGGGAATACATTTTATAAAGGTGTAGAGTAGATTAGATGGTACACCAGGATTAATGCAGGTACAATATGTATTAGGGGAATACATTTTATAAAGGTGTAGAGTAGATTAGATGGTACACCAGGGTTAACACAGGTACAATATGTATTAGGGGAATACATTTTATAAAGGTGTAGAGTAGATTAGATGGTACACCAGGGTTAATACAGGTACAATATGTATTAGGGGAATACATTTTATAAAGGTGTAGAGTAGATTAGATGGTGCACCAGGGTTAATACAGGTACAATATGTATTAGGGGAATACATTTTAAAAAGGTGTAGAGTAGATTAGATGGTACACCAGGGTTAACACAGGTACAATATGTATTAGGTGAATACATTTTATAAAGGTGTAGAGTAGATTAGATGGTACACCAGGGTTAATACAGGTACAATATGTATTAGGGGAATACATTTTATAAAGGTGTAGAGTAGATTAGATGGTACACCAGGATTAATGCAGGTACAATATGTATTAGGGGAATACATTTTATAAAGGTGTAGAGTAGATTAGATAGTACACCAGGATTAATACAGGTACAATGTGTATTAGGGGAATACATTTTATAAAGGTGTAGAGCAGATTAGATGGTGCACCAGGGTTAATACAGGTACAATATGTATTAGGGGAATACATTTTAAAAAGGTGTAGAGTAGATTAGATGGTACACCAGGGTTAATACAGGTACAATATGTATTAGGGGAATACATTTTATAAAGGTGTAGAGTAGATTAGATGGTACACCAGGGTTAACACAGGTACAATATGTATTAGGTGAATACATTTTATAAAGGTGTAGAGTAGATTAGATGGTACACCAGGGTTAATACAGGTACAATGTGTATTAGGGGAATACATTTTATAAAGGTGTAGAGTAGATTAGATGGTACACCAGGGTTAATACAGGTACAATATGTATTAGGGGAATACATTTTATAAAGGTGTAGAGTAGATTAGATGGTACACCAGGGTTAATACAGGTACAATGTGTATTAGGGAATACATTTTATAAAGGTGTAGAGTAGATTAGATGGTACACCAGGGTTAATACAGGTACAATATGTATTAGGGGAATACATTTTATAAAGGTGTAGAGTAGATTAGATGGTACACCAGGGTTAATACAGGTACAATGTGTATTAGGGGAAAACATTTTATAAAGGTGTAGAGTAGATTAGATGGTACACCAGGGTTAATACAGGTACAATGTGTATTAGGGGAAAACATTTTATAAAGGTGTAGAGTAGATTAGATGGTACACCAGGGTTAATACAGGTACAATGTGTATTAGGGGAAAACATTTTATAAAGGTGTAGAGTAGATTAGATAGCACACCAGGATTAATGCAGGTACAATATGTATTAGGGGAATACATTTTATAAAGGTGTAGAGTAGATTAGATAGTACACCAGGATTAATGCAGGTACAATATGTATTAGGGGAATACATTTTATAAAGGTGTAGAGTAGATTAGATAGTACACCAGGATTAATGCAGGTACAATATGTATTAGGGGAATACATTTTATAAAGGTGTAGAGTAGATTAGATAGTACACCAGGATTAATGCAGGTACAATATGTATTAGGGGAATACATTTTATAAAGGTGTAGAGTAGATTAGATGGTGCACCAGGGTTAATACAGGTACAATGTGTATTAGGGGAATACATTTTATAAAGGTGTAGAGTAGATTAGATAGTACACCATGGTTAATACAGGTACAATGTGTATTAGGGGAATACATTTTATAAAGGTGTAGAGTAGATTAGATGGTACACCAGGATTAATGCAGGTATAATATGTATTAGGGGAATACATTTTATAAAGGTGTAGAGTAGATTAGATGGTACACCAGGATTAATGCAGGTATAATATGTTTTAGGGGAATACATTTTATAATGGTGTAGGTACAGGTGAAGAGTAGATTAAATGGTACACCAGGGTTAATATAGGTAAAACACGTATTTGGTGAATTAGGAGAATACATTTTATAAAGGTGTAGATGCAGGTGAAAACTTACCTTAATTTTTTTGGGCTCTGTGTCATGATGAGGTTGAAGGTCAAATTATCAGGTGGGTAGTAGGCGTAGGTGTAAATTCTGTAAATAGATTGTGCATAGGTAAGTATAAATAGTTTCAGATACATTCGGAAAGTCAGTCAGTAAATACATGTAATAAATTAGATTAACACTAACATCACAACAGCACATACTTCTTGTCTTTCCCTTGTCTTTCCCAACGGCATTTGGGAATTTGTCAGATAAAAATTCATACTATTTTCCCAACACTGCCACACCCACAGACACAAACACTGACACAAACACTGACACAAACACTGACACAAACAATGACACAAACACTGTCACTACAAACACTGACACTACCAACACTGACCTGTAGCCTTTGGGAATGAGCAGCGGGAAGTAGAGAAACAAAATCAAGGTCAAGGCCAAAATGAACGACCTCAGGACCCAGACCCAGGTACCCTCGTAAACGTCATGACACGACATCCGTTTGTCCGAGTCGTAGCCGCAGCACCTGGTGGGGGTGGGGGGGGGTGTGGGGGGGGGGGGTGGAAGGTCAAGGACGATCAGTTTTAGGACTAAATGGTCAGATATTGAGTGTCAAACATGTTTACCTCTAATTATAATTACACCATAAGACCAAGTTTACCAGAACTCCATCTCATATGTACATAAGATCACCTCTACCACGCTTCGTATGCTCACATCACACCTGTCTGTTTGTATCCACTCACGTGCAGACAACTCACCTGTACACCAGCCTGCCCCACCCCTCGTTATCCACAACCTTGGCCGTGCATATCTCCACGTCATCTGAGTACGTGAACGGGTACTTGACAGCTGTCTCGTCAATGTAGAAATCTGCAGACAGGAGTCAACAAAAGACAAGTTCTGACAGGAGTCAACATAAGACAGGAGTCAACATAAGACAGGAGTCAACATAAGACAGGAGTCAACATAAGACAGGAGTCAACATAAGACAGGAGTCAACATAAGACAGGAGTCAACATAAGACAGGAGTCAACATAAGACAGGAGTCAACATAAGACAGGAGTCAACATAAGACAGGTTCTGATAGGAGTCAACATAGGACAGGAGTCAACATAAGACTTGAGTCACCATGATGCAGGTTAGTTCAATACAAGCCACACAATTTTGCAAGTCAGTGTCATTTGTTATAGATCTTTGCAGTGAGCGCCCTACTGCGACTGTGTGTTTATACTTTAGCAGATGGTCTACTAGAAATGTCTTGGTGACACTAGAGACTGACCTGAACATACTGTCGCTGACACTGACAAGCTGCTACTGACCGTGAAAATGCGTTAGTTTTTTTTTTTTTTAAATAGATTTTAGTGACCTTGCTGAAATGGCTAAATGAGTTGACCGGGGTTAGATATTCCCCATCCTGTAATAGGATTATGACCTCGGCAAATTACCTGTGAGTTCTAATAACGTTGGTCAAGTATATGTTTTGTTCCATCTGACCTACTGACCGTGGTCAAGTGTTTTGTTCCCGCTGACCTACTGACCTTGCAGGAGGTAATCCCGCACCCGCGCCTCCACCTCCCCAGCCCCAGCGGCCTGCAGACAGTCACCTGGACTAACAACCAGCGGCACATCTCTAGAAGCCACACTCAGAGACAGGAACACCTGCAGCAGGCCGTAGTAGAAGTGGTAGATCAGCAACAGCTGGGAGCTCCCTATGCCCTGAGTTCGATACCATCTGAGACAGAGGTTGCATTGTCATAAATCGGAATATTTAATATTTTAATTTATAGCAAAACCTAGTTTTAAATATAAGAAACCCTGACATATACAGAATACGGCGGAATTCAAGGTTAACAAGTAAAACATATAATGTAGGTAAAATAGGGTTGTACACAATGCAAATTCAGCAAAGGCTTGAATTCGGCAGGTGACTTTCCTGCATCAGGACAATATTTCTTACTTCGGATGCAAAATTTACCTGTAATAGGTTCAATATTTACTTGTAGCAGTTGCAATATTTACTTCTTACAGGCGTAATATTTACCTGTGACATGTGGAATATTTACATGTGAAAGGTGCAATATTTGCTGTGACAGGTGCACTATTTACCTGTAACAGGTGCAATATTTACCTGTGACATGTGCAATATTTACCTGTGACAGGTGCAATTTTTAACCACGACAAGTGCAATATTTATCTGTGACAGGTGCAATATTTACCTGTGACAGATGCAATATTTACCTATGACAGTTGAAATATTCACCTGCGACAGGTGCAATATTTACCTGCTCGGCTGGTAGGCATCAGGTCCAGTCAATGAGCTCAGGTTTAAGCCGATCACGTGGTACTCCAAAATTTTGATGTCGCTGTCTTTGTTGAAAAACTGAGAGATGTCTTCCACAAATGTTTTATTGTTCACTGGCACAAACTTGCAGGCCGGAACCGGCGCATTTTGACCGGACGATGACGTCACATAGCATCCAATGATAACCACAATAACAGGCCAAGGCGACGCTTCCATTGTTTATATTGTTGTTTGTAAGGTAAATGCGAAGGGAAGTAAGTCTTTATGCCAAGGGAAGTAAGTCTTTATAACTCTTGTCCAGAAATTGCAGGTGGTTACATCTACACTTTAAACTTTCCCACCTCATCTAAGTGCCACTGTCATAACGACAATTTTCTATACAAATCAATAATCGAGTTAAGTAACTATTGAACACCCAAAAAAAATCAATAAATAGAAACACAAAATGCCTGATCCATATTTGTACTGGGGTGTAGGTAAATAAAGTGGAATCGATTACTTCAATGTGTTGAAAGGTATCGATCCTTATTTCATCATCAGGTGTTTGGGTGTGACGAAATGTTGCCAGGTCGCACGTCACAATACAACTACCCCCCCCCCCCCACACACACCCACACTACACGACCCACAACCCGACCCCCCCCCCCCCCCCACACTGTACGAGCTCTGGCCAAAGCTGACCTACACTAAGTCAACCAGCAACTGATTGCTATAGAAATTGTATTTGTTATACTTTGTTACAAAAAAAAATCTTCATTCTTATAATAGATCTAAACCATGTTAAAATTTTGCTGTTGTTAGTTACAAAAGACAACTTTAAAATTATCATCAGAAAGAAAGATGGTTCAGCTTTTAAGATTATTGAAATACTTAAGTAAAGTTTCCCTTTTCGAACCTGTCGGTCCATCGAGTAATTAAAGTAGAGTTAACATGTTTCTGTGGATGTGGTCAGCACTATTAAAATACTAATACGTTTTTCTGCGCATTGTAAACAGTGTTTCTTCCAGACATTTTTCTCCGGGGGAGGGGGGCACTAGAAATTTTCGGGGGGGGGGGGGGCGGTAGACTTTCTTCGGGGAAATGGACACTGTTAAAAGTATATATTTTCTATATAAATTATATAAATTTCATTTCGTTCGGGGGGGGGGGGCGGTAAAAAAAATTCGGGGAGGGGGTGGGGGGGGTGGCAAGCCCCCGAAGAGATGCCTGGAAGAAACTCTGATTGTAAACATTAGTGTTGATCAGTCAATTAATTGTGAACCATGAATAGTTTTTAATACATCAGTATTGAAAAGCGTAATTGATTATTATTTATTATTATTAGATTAAGACATTTGAGATAAAATGTTAAATTTGAAGTCATTTAACTATCCGTCTGTTATTATATTGGCACGATATAGGACAGAGAGGAAGGGAGGGAATGATCTAAAGGACAATGGGACGAACCGAAAACAAAAGAACTCACATTTTAGCGGCCTATCTAAACATGACGTGATGGAAAAACTTTACTGAACTTTTTTAGTCCTAACTTTAAATCGTATCAACTCACAGAACAATGACATATAGCCCAGAGCTGTCGTAGAAATACGTGAAAATATACAAAAGAAATAAAATAATATCTTACTAGTAGACTCCAACACAAACAAACCACCAGCACAGACTTTCACAATGTACAGGCAATAAATGTACATGGTTTCACTTGTATGCACGTTTCCATAATAAATCTGATGGGTGCAGGGTTGGTGGGGTGGAGATGTGTTATGTAGGGGGAGGGGGAGATTTCTCAACCACATACACAGTTAGTTACAAATCGAACAAAGCCCAAGGGGTTTAGACGGGGTAAAAATCTAGTCATGTTGGGTGGGTGGTGGTGTCTAAGCCTTGAGTTCAATAGGTAGCTATAAATAGCACGCTGGTATTTAACTGCAAGCTGAATGAATGCATAAGTCGTTAAGAAAATCTACATACTACTGCCTGACAAAAAAAATCGATTTTGGTTATTTGATAGTCCATTCACTTTCTGAAAGCGGCACCCTATTCTAACCCTTTCCCCCGCCCCACCCACTTGAGTAATATCATGTAACGTCTTTCAAACGTTGACCGAGACAGCTAGACTTGACATGGCAACTTTCCGCTGCAGAAAGATTTCAGAAAGGTTAAGGGAACATTTTAAAATTTGAAAAACAAAATGAGAAGAATTGTGTAGACCCTAACACAAGTTAATCTAAGAGGAAATTAAAACAATAGACATTTTTATCTTAAAGAACTGTCACCAGTAAACAACATATTTTAAGGTTTTTTAGTTGCAATGAAGACTACTTTTCGGCAGTGAACTATCACCCATGTAAAGTAAGGGAAACAACTAGGTCGACCACTCGTGGTATTAAATTAGTTGACTAGAAAACTTATGAAATATTTTACATTCACTCGTCCTTTTGTGTTTAACATCGAAGCCATCGCTTGATTTCATTGATTTATTGTTTTGCGCTGATTTACACCCCTCAGAGTACACAAATAAGCTCAGTTTATAAGAAATCCAAATATTCAATCAGACTTTCCTCCAGGCATCTCTTCGGGGGGGGGGGGGGGGGGGGCGAAGCCAGCCCGAAATTTTTTTACCGCCCCCCCCCCCCCCCCCACCCCGAACGAAATGAAATTTATATAATTTATATAGAAAATATATACTTTTAACAGTGTCCGCCCCCCCCCCCCGAAGAAAGTCTACCGCCCCCCCCCCCCAGAAAATTTCAAGTGCCCTCCCCCCCCTCCCCCCTCCCCTCCCCCCCCCCGCGGAGAAAAAAGTCTGGAAGAAACACTGCATTTAATCTACTCAAGCAAGACAACCAAGTAAATCGCGTTTGAATCGCTTATTTCCTTTTGATGGCCAATATGATTGAGTCGAAGTTTCTCTTCTTATTACGTAGAGGCGAAGTGGTTTAAAACGATAACGGTATTAGGTAAATAAGATGTTAATGAATAGAAATACAAAATTTTAAAAAATCGAAAAAAATAAAATAAATAAAATAAAAAATCAAGCTGAGTACGGTGTTGTAGCCCCTTAACGTCTAGCACCTTTACTTGAAACTGCACTTCAAATAAACCGGTAGTGATCTCCCCTAAACTTTCTCGAATTTTCTTATATAAAACAACAGGGGGTGGTAACTGGGGATATAGTTGTGATTTTTTTAATCCATTTTAAATACTTAAACTTTTAAAAATAGAATAGAATCTCATAAAAAAAACATTGCGCACCAAGCAAACGCCGAATAAAAACGCGTATAATAGTGCGCAATATTATTAGTACTTTAAAAATTTACATTAGTTTTTTGAGAAATCGGAAGTAGCGTAAATTACTACTTCCAGTCAACGGAAATTACTAATTTTAACAGAAGGTAGAGAATTAGATCTTTTACTTACATGTGAAATTTCATTTATCTATCTGAAATAGTACTCAAGTTATAGGCTTTTGAAAAATTCAAAGTAGGAAAAGTACCACTTCCGGTTATCGGAAATCGCTCAAAAGTTGATACGGATCTACGATTTTGATAAAATACTTATATATGAAATTTCATCAACCTAGCTGTAACGGTACTCAAGTTATCGTGTTTACACACGGACAGACAGACAGATCACAGACAGACACACAGACATACGGACAAGATTGCAAAATTATGTTTTTCCGTATCAGTGAGGTGTAAAACGTCGAGATTTGTAAAAATCTCGATTTTTTTTTTTGCACGATTACAATACTTTCTCTATACTACGTATATACGAGAAAGTAAAAAGGTAAACTTATGTTCTTTTATATTCATAAATCTCTAAATGATGATAAGTGCAGTTCTTGCTTTTTTTTTTTACTTTCTCGTATATACGAAGTATAGAGAAAGTCTTGTAATCGTGCAAAAAAAAAAATCGAGATTTTTTACAAATCTCGACGTTTTACACCTCACTGATACGGAAAAACATAATTTTGCAATCTTGTCCGTATGTCTGTGTGTCTGTCTGTGATCTGTCTGTCTGTCCGTGTGTAAACACGATAACTTGAGTACCGTTACAGCTAGGTTGATGAAATTTCATATATAAGTATTTTATCAAAATCGTAGATCCGTATCAACTTTTGAGCGATTTCCGATAACCGGAAGTGGTACTTTTCCTACTTTGAATTTTTCAAAAGCCTATAACTTGAGTACTATTTCAGATAGATAAATGAAATTTCACATGTAAGTAAAAGATCTAATTCTCTACCTTCTGTTAAATTTTGAGTAATTTCCGTTGACTGGAAGTAGTACTTAACGCTACTTCCGATTTCTCAAAAAACTAATGTAAATTTTAAAAGTACTAATAATATTGCGCACTATTATGTGCTTTTTTATTTGGCGTTCACATGGTGTGCAATCAATTTGTCTACGAGATTTTATTCTATTTTTAAAACTATAAGTATTTAAAATGGATTAAAAAACATGTCTATAGCCCGAGTTCCCATCCCCTGTTATTTTATATAAGAATATTCGAGAAAGTTTAGGGGAGATCACTCCCGGTTTATTTATTGATGTAACCATTTTCATCTGATGTTGCTTCTTCCTTGTCAAGCCGATTTGTTCTGCTTTTTATTTCAACTGTGTTGGAAACAGAGATCATCTGCTCAAGTAACATACAGATATTCATCCAGTTGTTTGATATATGGGAAAATGCACATATCTCCGTGTACGTATCATATGATATCGTGTGTCACATACATCTCCGTGTACGTGTCATATGATGTCACAAGCCACATACACATATCTCCGTATACGTGCCATATGATGTCATGTCACATAGACATATCTCCGTGTACGTGTTATATGGTGTCATATGTCACATACACATGTAATAAAATGGAATTTGACCAGCCTGTTTTAGTTTTCTGTTCCTAATTATAACATTTGAAAATATTAAATGACATCTACTTTCATTTTCGTATGATTTATTTATAAAAACACACAGATCCATATCACAAAAGTTCTGAACCGTTTTTATATTTTAAAAACATCTGAAAAATGCAATGAACACATTAAAAAGTTTAAAGTGGTGGGGATTTTAGTGAATTTGGTACTGAAGGTCTTCAATTTAGGTTTTTAATGAAGGTCTTCAACTTAGGTTGTCAATGAAGGTCTTCAACTTAGGTTGTCAATGAAGGTCTTCAATTTAATTTGTCAATGAAGGTCTTCAGTATATGTTGTAAATACGTTCTTTAATATAGAACGTCAATAAAGGTGTTCACTATAGGTTTTCAATAAACTTCTTCAATATAGGTTGTAAATTAGGTCTTATATTGATTGTTAATATAGGTGTTAAGTATAGGTTGTCAATGAGTGTCTGCAATATAGGATGTCTATAAGGTCTTAAGTATATAGATTGTCAATATAGGCAGTGGCGTAGCGAGGTCGGGTGTCACCCGGTGCGGCACTTAATGGTGTCACCCCCCAGAGGCATAGCGACCCTTCCCGGGGACAAATTTTCGATTTGCACTCCCCCCCCCCCCCTCAAGTTTTCGATTAGCACTCCCCCTCAAGTTTTTCTCTATATATTTTGCTATTATTTGCCTTGGTGTCACCCCCCTAAATGGTATCACCCGGTTCGGTCCGCAACCCCCGCCCCCCCCCTCACTACGCCTCTGAATATAGATGTTCAGTATAGGTTGTCAATAAAGGTATAAAAAAATCTTACCACTATACAGATACGTGTATAGTTAACATTACATGAGACACATTTAAAAAGGGGGTGGTCGAATGACGTGGCTCGACGCTGCGTCATTAATGTAAAATACAACAAACACGAATTGTAGTAAATTAAAACATGTATCACATCAAGATGTAACAGTACAACAATCACCGCAGCTTAGCTACTGCCACCGTTGGTTTCAAATGATGTTAATATCAACTTTAGTTTACTGTTCACATTTTAATTTGATGTTAACATTTACACTGATGAAATAATTTAACACATACTACCATTATGTATAAAAAGTGTTATGTAATAAAAATTGGACATTATGGCTACTGTCCACTGGCAGTCATACAGGATACCGCGACTTAAACCGTGGAGTGGCTACAAGAGACAGCTGGACATATAATACTGGCAGGTAGCGACCTATGCCAGGTAGCGACCTATGCCAGGTAGCGACCAATGCCAGGTTGCCACTAATGTCAAGGTAGCCACCAATGTCAAGATAGCCACCAAGTTCAAGGTAGCCTCCGATGCCAGAGCTAGTAGGATTTGGACGGGATCGATTCTTCGACCTGGCTACAGGATACTTCTGGGCAATTACCTGCAGGCAAATAGGCAAGAAATGTTGACAATGATTGTAGGAAAATAGGCAATAAATGTTGACAACTTTTGTAGGAAAATAGGCAATAAATGTTGACAATTGTTGTAGGAAAATAGGCAATAAATGTTGACAATTGTTGTAGGAAAATAGGCAATAAATGTTGACAATTGTTGTAGCAAAATAGGCAATAAATGTTGACAATTGTTGTAGGAAAATAGGCAATAAATGTTGACAATTGTTGTAGGAAAATAGGCAATACATGTTGACAATTATTGTAGGCAAATAGGCACGAAATGTTTGTAAATGTAGGAAAAACAGGAAAGATAATATAAAATAAGCAATGTAGGTGTTCTGTTATTCAAAAACGAAATTCGAATTCTGGGCACAGACTCACAAATCCACACACACACCCACTTCATCTCTACCGTCATATTGAAGGGTCACATAGTGGTTCCCTACCGTCATATTGAAGGGTCACATAGTGGTTCCCTACCGTCATATTGAAGGGTCACATAGTGGTTCCCTACCTTCATATTGAAGGGTCACATAGTGGTTCCCTACCGTCATATTGAAGGGTCACACAGTGGTTCCCTACCGTCATATTGAAGGGTCACATAGTGGTTCCCTACCGTCATTTTGAAGGGTCACACAGTGGTTCCCTACCGTCATATTGAAGGGTCACATAGTGGTTCCCTACCGTCATATTGAAGGGTCACATAGTGGTTCCCTACCTTCATATTGAAGGGTCACACAGTGGTTCCCTACCTTCATATTGAAGGGTCACACAGTGGTTCCCTACCTTCATATTGAAGGGTCACATAGTGGTTCCCTACCGTCATATTGAAGGGTCACACAGTGGTTCCCTACCTTCATATTGAAGGGTCACATAGTGGTTCCCTACCGTCATATTGAAGGGTCACATAGTGGTTCCCTACCGTCATATTGAAGGGTCACACAGTGGTTCCCTACCGTCATATTGAAGGGTCACATAGTGGTTCCCTACCTTCATATTGAAGGGTCACATAGTGGTTCCCTACCGTCATATTGAAGGGTCACACAGTGGTTCCCTACCGTCATATTGAAGGGTCACATAGTGGTTCCCTACCTTCATATTGAAGGGTCACATAGTGGTTCCCTACCTTCATATTGAAGGGTCACATAGTGGTTCCCTACCTTCATATTGAAGGGTCACATAGTGGTTCCCTACCCTCATATTGAAGGGTCACATAGTGGTTCCTACCTTCATAGTGCACGGGCACACAGTGGTTCGCAGTGTTCATCGATTCAGCCCAGTCCTTCCAGAAAGATCTGGGGTTCCTGAACATGGAGGCCAGCACGGCGGCCCCTATCCCCGCCAGAGAGTTGATGGCCGCGATGAAGAAGGTCAGACCTTTCACAAAGCTCAGACCTCGCAGTTCATAGTTCTCTTGGGAGACGACCTCCCAGTCTGTGGGGGGAGGGGAACTGGTTTAACTTAAATCTTAATCAGATGACCCCCCTCCCTCCTAGTCTGTGGGGGAAGGGGAACTGGTTTAACTTAAATCTTAATCACATGACCCCCCTCCCAGTCTGTGGGGGAAGGGGAAATGGTTTAACTTAAACCTTAATCAGATGACCCCCCCCCCCAAATAGTCTGTGGGGGAAGGGGAAATGGTTTAACTTAAATCTTAATCAGATGACCCCCCCCCCCTTCTAGTCTGAGGGGAAGGGGAAATTGTTTAACTTAAATCTTAATCAGATGCCCCCCCCCCTTCTAGTCTGAGGGGGAAGGGGAAATGGTTTAACTTAAACCTTAATCAGATGACCCCCCCCCCCAAATAGTCTGTGGGGGAAGGGGAAATGGTTTAACTTAAATCTTAATCACATGACCCCCCCCCCCTTCCCAGTCTGTGGGGGAAGGGGAATCGGTTTAACTTAAACCTAAATTAATTGACCACAAAAATTAACATTAGTTAATTAATTTAAACAAGGGTTAACGAACCACCAAAAAAACGTTAGTTAATTTTTAAAAAAAAAAGGTAACAAAACTAACGCTAGTTAATTAAAAATCACGGGTGCCGGGGGTGGAGGGGTCAGCTCACATGGATGCCGGGGGGAGGGGTCAACTCACATGGATGCCGGGGGAGGGGTCAGCTCACATGGATGCCGGGGGGGAGGGGTAACACACATGGATGCCGGGGGGGGAGGGGTCAACTCACATGGATGCCGGGGGGAGGGGTCAACTCACATGGATGCCGGGGGGAGGGGTCAACTCACATGGATGCCGGGGGGAGGGGTCAACTCACATGGATGCCGGGGGAGGGGGGGGTCAACTCACATGGATGCCGCTTGACCTTGACGACGGCCGAGAACCTCATGCCAGTGTCCGAGGGACTGGTCCTAGACATGAGCAGGGTCAGCTGTTTAGCAGACGAGCACATCTCTCTGCCTGTCTTCAGGGCGGAGTGGGAGTCATTGCAGCCCAGCACCTGTCATAGAGCAGGGGCCTCGACATTAGGGCATGGGATAAAAGGGGCCTCGACATTAGGGCATGGGATAATAGGGGCCTCGATATTAGGGCGTGGGATAACAGGGGCCTCGACATTAGGGCATGGGATAATGGAACAGGGGCTTCGACATTAGGGCATGGGATAATGAAACAGTGTCTTCGACAATTGTGAATGGGATAAAAGTCGTCAAGCTTACAGTATGGGCAGTGGTGTAGCGAGGGGGGGGGGGGGGCGGGGGGGGGTGCGGACCGCACCGGGTGACACCATTTAGGAGGGTGACACCAAGGCAAAAAATGAGAAAAAATGATAATTCCACTTAATTAAGTGATTAGTTCGAGCAGAGTTTTGACAGTGTCCGCCCCCCGAAAATTTTAAGTGCACCCCCGGAGAAAAAAGTCTGGAAGAAACACTGAAAAAGTCTTTTAAGAGCAAATTTGACAAATCCCGACATGGGTGGAGGGGGGAGGGTTGCAAATCGAAAGTTTGAGGGGGGTTGCAAATCGAAAATTGAAACTTTTGTCCCCCGGGTCGCCTCTGGGGGTGACACCATTACGGTGCCGCACCGGGTGACACCCGACCTCGCTACGCCACTGAGTATGGGATAAAGGTCTTCAACTTTATGGTATGCTTTCATAATCTTCAGTTTTATGTTATGGTATGGGCTTCAACTTTATGGTTTGGAATAATGGTTTTAAGCCTTATGGTATAATGGTCTTCAAATTTATGTTGTGGGATAATGGCCTTCAGCTATGTGTAGTCTTCAAACTTATGGAATGTGACATTGAGGGTCATGTGATGTTTAGGTCATGTGATGTTTAGGTCATGTGATGTTTAGGGTCATGTGATGTTGAGGTCATGTAATGTTTAGGTCATGTGATGTTGAGGGTCATGTGATGTTGAGGTCATGTGATGGTTAGGTCATGTGATGTTGAGGGTCATGTGATGTTTAGGTCATGTGATGTTGAGGGTCATGTGATGTTTAGGGTCACGTGATGTTTATGGTCACGTGATGTTTAGGGTCACGTGATGTTTAGGGTCACGTGATGTTGAGATCATGTGATGTTGAGGGTAGTGATGGAAGGCTGAATTTGACTTTATCATTGGGGAATTAATCTTGTAGTAATCATTGGGGAATTAATCTTGTTGTAATAATTGGGGAATTAATCTTGTTGTAATAATTGGGGAATTAATCTTGTTGTAATCATTGGGGAATTAATCTTGTTGTAATCATTGGGAATTAATCTTGTTGTAATCATTGGGAATTAATCTTGTTGTAATCATTGGGAATTAATCTCGTTGTAATCATTGGGGAATTAATCTTGTTGTAATCATTGGGAATTAATCTTGTTGTAATCATTGGGGAATTAATCTTGTTGTAATCATTGGGAATTAATCTTGTTGTAATCATTGGGGAATTAATCTTGTTGTAATCAGTGGGGAATTAATCTTGTTGTAATCATCGGGGAATTAATCTTGTTGAAATCATTGGGGAATTAATCTTGTAATCATTGGGGGATTAATCTTGTCTTAGACCAATTTACTCATTGTGGGGTGATTCGGTATGGGAAAGCAGTCTATTGATCGTTCGAGAGTAAGGTATATTTCATCAAACATTATTGGGGACAATGAACTATTCAAATATTGCGAGGCATTGGAGCAATAAATGTTAAGCGAAAAATGGTATTAAAAATATTTTTTTTTACATTTCTGCTTAAACTTTCTTCTTACGCATAAATTTTAACAGTTATAAAGATTTCTGAAAAAAATACAATTTTATAATCAAATACAAATTATTGTTTAAGAGGCAGTTTTTATTACATATTGCAAACTGTTTTACCTTGTAGTATATTTAAAAATCACGGTAAGGATTTGAAAAGAACTAAAAGTTAAATACTTAGCAGGATTATTTCCCTTAGAAAAACTTTATTTTATCAGTTATTTCCCTTACATCTACGGCTGGCCAAAATTTCTGATTGAAGCCCTCAACGACCAGCTTGGACATGCAGTTGTGTGTGACGTCATAGTCGTCCACTTGCACACACAGTTCTTCGTACTCCTCTTTGGAATCGGTGCTTAAGGTCAGCTGAAGGTGAAGGACAAATGTCTTTTGGTTATACTCATAATACACATCTTAAAAAATAGATTTTAATGTATCATGATTAGTCGTCGTTGATTGTAACTTCCAATAACTAACCCCATCCCTCTCTATGCTAAAATCATATCAATGGCAGATATTTTCTCTGCCTAGAGTAGAGTTCATCTATTTCTTACATCATGATATACCATAACATATCACCTTTTTACTTGTCCAATTATTACTGAGTGCTGATGTGAGCTTTAAGCTTTCAGACATACATTACATATCTCAATTAAATGTTTTAAAATGGTGTACTATTTTTCTCCTTTTTTGTTTTAATTATTGACTTTGTATTCATGTGAGAAAAAGGTACATCTTGTAAGATGCATTTAAGTTTTTAAAAGATTAGCTTGTATTCAGGTAAAGGAAACTAATACCTTAACCAGGTTAAAACAGATTACTTGGTATTTAGTTAACATAACACCATGTATTCAAGTGAATAATAAGTTGATCTTGTCTCTAGGTATAAATAATTAAGCATGGAATTAAGCCACGTTTAATGTCACGTTAGTCACATTGCTCTGTCATCAGGTCTTGACCCACTTGCCAAGATTCAGAGAAATCGGTCGGTTAAAATGGTCGAAATTTCGCTCGCCTGTTTTGATTCGTGACGACAAAAGCACAACAGACAGAAAAATAAATTTAAATAACAGTTTGTCTGCAAATAGAAAATAAACCCTGTTTACCTTACAGTTGAGTGGTATATAAAAAATAAACCCTGTTTACCTTACAGTTCAGTGGTAGATAAAAAATAAACCCTGTTTACCTTACAGTTCAGTGGTAGATAAAAAAATAAACCCTGTTTACCTTACAGTTCAGTGGTAGATAAAAAAATAAACCCTGTTTACCTTACAGTTCAGTGGTAGATAAAAAATAAACCCTGTTTACCTTACAGTTCAGTGGTAGATAAAAAAAATAAACCCTGTTTACCTTACAGTTCAGTGGTAGATAAAAAATAAACCCTGTTTACCTTACAGTTCAGTGGTAGATAAAAAATAAACCCTGTTTACGTTACAGTTCAGTGGTAGATAAAAAATAAACCCTGTTTACGTTACAGTTCAGTGGTAGATAAAAAATAAACCCTGTTTACGTTACAGTTCAGTGGTAGATAAAAAATAAACCCTGTTTACCTTACAGTTCAGTGGTAGATAAAAAAATAAACCGTTTACCTTACAGTTCAGTTGTAGATAAAAAATAAACCCTGTTTACCTTACAGTTCAGTTGTAGATAAAAAATAAACCCTGTTTACCTTACAGTTCAGTGGTAGATAAAAAATAAACCCTGTTTACCTTACAGTTCAGTGGTAGATGGTCAGGGGTGGGGTAGCGCTGACCAGTGATGCGGATCTCCTTTCCTGATTTGATAAGCTGGGCCAGGTCACATTGGGTGTATGTGTCTAGGTGGTCTGTGAATAAATGGTTGGGGGGGGGGGTAATGGCAGGTCACATTGGGTGTATGTGTCTATGTGGTCTGTGAATATACGTGGGGGGGGGGGGGGGGGTAGTGGCAGGTCACATTGGGTGTATGTGTCTATGTGGTCTGTGAATATACGTGGGGGGGGTAGTGGCAGGTCACATTGGGTGTATGTGTTTATGTGGTCTGTGACAGAACAAGGGGTGGCGTTTACAGGGGGGATACACAAGGGGGTGGACGTGGTTACAGACCACACTGCGTGTGCGCGTCTATGTGGTCTGTGAATACCGGGGGGGGGAGGAGTGAGATCACACTGCGTGTATGGCTCCACGTATTCGCCTTAAAATAAGTGTATGTGACAAGGAGTAGTGCAAACGTGTGGTTGATCTTTTGGGGGAATTTTTATACCAGTGTCCGATAATAGAATGTTCTATAAAAAAAAGGGGTTTGGAGATACTGGTAGTTAATAGAATACACACATTGCTGGGTAATGTCAATGTTAACACTAACGCTAACCCCAACCCTAGTCCTGCCATACGCCTAAATCTAATTTCTAACCATAAAATTAGTCGAAATAACAATACTACTATCAATTCAACAACCTATTTTATGGAATAGTCGATTTTTGGACATCGGTATCTAAAATCTAAAATCATCCAAAAGGAGATGTCTTGACATGCGACTTACGTAAAGTAAATCGAAACACACTTGCAAATTAATCGTCATTATCTGGCTTTGGGTATGGCTTAGTGCTATGGGTACTAGATAAGCAGATAGATCACCAGTACAAGATAAGCAGATACGCAGATAATCTCTAAAACAAAAGCTTGACCGTTGCATCTTCTCTAGTTGAAGAGCAAAAACACTGGACCGACAGACAAATATCAAGGTAGGTCTTTTAAGATTTTCAGGCTAAAAACCATTGAGCATGCCTCCTTTCTTTCCCTCCCCCTCCCCCCCCCCCCCCCCCCTCTTCTCTTCTCTTCTCTTCCCCCCCCCCCCCCTTTCTCTCCTCCCCTACCCCCCTACCACACACATTTGAGCATACCCAACAAGATCCACCCACTTCCCGTTGTCTATGAAAACAAATTACCCAGAACGAGATTTTGAAGTGGCCAGATTTTTATGGCCTGCCTCATTAGCATAGCCTGATGGGGTGTGGCTGGAGATGGGATGACCTCTGATTGACCTTCTATACATATTTATTGCTGATTAACAAAAAGTCGCAGGAAAGACATTAGTTGTTTACTTTTTAAAGATGGGGTGCGTCAGTGGGGAGTGTAGAGGGAGTTATATGTGGGTAGAGTTGTGTAGGTTAGAGTTGTGTGGGGTGGGGTTGTTTTGTGTAGAGTTGTGTGGGTTAGAGTTGTGTGGGTTAGAGTTGTGTGGGTTAGAGTTGTGTGGGGTGGGGTTGTTTGGTGTAGAGTTGTGTCGGGATGGGGCTGTTGAGTAAGGGTAGAGAAGTGTGTGGGGAGAGTTATGTGGGGTTAAAGATGTGTGGGTTAGAGTTGGGAAGGAGATGGGGGGTACAGATGTGTGGGGAAAGTTGTGTGGGATAGAGTAGCGGGGGGAGGGAGTAGTGGAGTTGTGAGGTGTAGCGTTGTTTGGATAGTGGTGTGTGTGGGTAGAGTTGTGTGGCGCAGAGTTAAGTGGGGGTTGAGTTGTAGGGTGGGGGGTAGAGTTTTGTAGTAGTTGTATTATATGGGGTTGAGTTTTTTGCCGACAAATTGTGGCTTACAGAAAGCAGCAACTTTGATAATTGGTTTTTACGTACAGCAATGTTACTGTGTGTTGGACTAGAACGTTTGGCTGTAGCGAATGGCGGTGACACTTACAGCTGGTGATGATGTGCTGACTTACAGTTGGTGATGATGTGATGACTTACAGTTGGTGATGATGTGCTGACTTACAGTTGATGATGATGTGATGACTTACAGTTGGTGATGATGTTTTATTTACACTTACAGTTGGTGATGATGTGCTGACTTACAGTTGGTGATGATGTGATGACTTACAGTTGGTGATGATGTTTTATTTACACTTACAGTTGGTGATGATGTGATGACTTACAGTTGGTGATGATGTGTTGACTTACAGCTGGTGATGATGTGCCGACTTACAGTTGGTGATGATGTGATGACTTACAGTTGGTGATGATGTGATGACTTACAGTTGGTGATGATGTGTTGACTTACAGCTGGTGATGATGTGCCGACTTACAGTTGGTGATGATGTGATGACTTACAGTTGGTGATGATGTGGTGACTTACAGTTGGTGATGATGTGCTGACTTACAGTTGATGATGATGTGATGACTTACAGTTGGTGATGATGTTTTATTTACACTTACAGTTGGTGATGATGTGCTGACTTACATTTGGTGATGATGTGCTGACTTACAGTTGGTGATGATGTGCTGACTTACAGTTGGTGATGGTGTGCTGACTTACAGTTGGTGATGATGTGGTGACTTACAGTTGGTGATGATGTGCTGACTAACAGTTGGTGATGATGTGCTGACTTACAGTTGGTGATGATGTGATGACTTACAGTTGGTGATGATGTGCTGACTTACAGTTGGTGATGATGTGCTGACTTACAGTTGGTGATGATGTTTTATTTACACTTACAGTTGGTGATGATGTGATGACTTACAGTTGGTGATGATGTGATATTTACACTTACAGTTGGTGATGATGTGGTGACTTACAGTTGGTGATGATGTGCTGACTTACAGTAGGTGATGGTGTGCTGACTTACAGTTGGTGATGATGTGCAGACTTACAGTAGGTGATGATGTTTTATTTACACTTACAGTTGGTGATGATGTGCTGACTTACAGTTGGTGATGATGTGGTGACTTACAGTTGGTGATGATGTTTTATTTACACTTACAGTTGGTGATGATGTACTGACTTACAGTTGGTGACGATGTGCTGACTTACAGTTGGTGACGATGTGCTGACTTACAGTTGGTGATGATGTGCTGACTTACAGTTGGTGATGATGTGCTGACTTACAGTTGGTGATAATGTGCTGACTTACAGTTGGTGATGGTGTGCTGACTTACAGTTGGTGATGATGTGCTGACTTACAGTTGGTGATGATGTGTATACTTACAGTTGGTGATGATGTGATGACTTACAGTTGGTGATGATGTGCTGACTTACAGTTGTTGATGATGTGCTGACTTACAGTTGGTGATGATGTGATGACTTACAGTTGGTGATGATGTGCTTACTTACAGTTGGTGATGATGTGCTGACTTACAGTTGGTGATGATGTGCTTACTTACAGTTGGTGATGATGTGCTGACTTACAGTTGGTGATGATGTGCTCCTTGGACACGTTGCTGATGAGGAAGCTGTAGCGGTACTCGCCATTTTGGTCGTGGAAGTCACGTGCCGTCGTCAGCTCGACGGAGATGAGGGGCTTGGTCGTACACCAGTGGCGGAACTTGGAGTGATGGTAGTTGAATTGCTGGGGATGGTAGGATGGTAGTTGGGTTAATGGGGAGGGTAGGATGGTAGTTGAATTGCTGGGGATGGTAGGATGGTAGTTGAATTGCTGGGGATGGTAGGATGATAGTTGAATTGCTGGGGATGGTAGGATGGTAGTTGAATTGCTGGGGATGGTAAGATGGTAGTTGAATTGCTGGGGATGGTAGGATGGTAGTTGAATTGCTGGGGATGGTAGGATGGTAGTTGAATTGCTGGGGATGGTAGGATGGTAGTTGAATTGCTGGGGATGGTAGGATGGTAGTTGAATTGCTGGGGATGGTAGGATGGTAGTTGTATTGCTGGGGATGGTAGGATGGTAGTTGAATTTGCTGGGGATGGTAGGATGGTAGTTGAATTGCTGGGGATGGTAGGATGGTAGTTGATGTAGTTGAATTGCTGGGGATGGTAGGATGGTAGTTGAATTGCTGGGGATGGTAGGATGGTAGTTGAATTGCTGGGGATGGTAGGATGGTAGTTGAGTTGATGGGGATGGTAGGATGGTAGGATGTAGTTGAATTGCTGGGGATGGTAGGATGGTAGTTGAGTTGATGGGGATGATAGGATGGTAGTTGATGTAGTTGAGTTGATGGGGATGGTAGGATGGTAGTTGATGTAGTTGAATTTCTGGGGATGGTAGGATGGTAGTTGAATTGCTGGGGATGGTAGGATGGTAGTTGAATTGCTGGGGATGGTAGGATGGTAGTTGAGTTGATGGGGATGGTAGGATGGTAGTTGAATTGCTGGGGATGGTAGGATGGTAGTTGAGTTGATGGGGATGATAGGATGGTAGTTGTATTGCTTTGGATGGTAGGATGGTAGTTGAGTTGATGGGGATGATAGGATGGTATTTGAATTGCTGGGGATGGTAGGATGGTAGTTGATGTAGTTGAGTTGATGGGGATGGTAGGGTGGTTGTTGAATTATTGGGGATGGTAGGGTGGTAGTTGAATTGCTGGGGATGGTAGGATGGTAGTTGTATTGCTTGGGATGGTATGATGGTAGTTGAATTGCTGGGGATGGTAGGATGATAGTTGAATTGCTTGGAATGGTAGGATGGTAGTTGAATTGCTGTTGCTGGGGATGGTAGGATGGTAGTTGTATTGTGTGTTGCTGGGGATGGTAGTTAAATTGCTGGGAAACGTGGGATGGGAGTTGAAATGATGGGAAAATAGAGATGGTACTGGGGATGGTAGTTGTAATGTTAGGGGATGGTAAGATGTGTGTTGAATTAATGGGTGTGGCTTTGGGGTAGTTGTTGTATTGTTTGGACTTGATTAACAAATAGAGTTGGTGCAAGAGATAGTGGAATGGTAGTTTAATTGCTAAGGAATTTAGAGATTGTAGCTGAGAATGGTGGGATGGTAGTTGTTTGTGGCTGAGGATAGTGGTTATTTAGTTTATTGCTGGGGATGGTCGGGTGGACGTTGAATTGCTGGGGATGGTACGATGGTAGGATGGTAGTTGAATTGCTGGGGATGATGGGCTGGTAGTTGAACTTCTGGACCCCTAGAATGACAAGACCCGGGATTAAAATACATCTCACCTTGTCAGGGCCAACTTTGGAGGTGAAAATTTTGATCTGGATTCCAGGTGTTGGTCTCTTGAAGAACAGGTCGTTGGCGTGGACACAGATTCCTTGGTCTGGGTCTCCGGTCATGAAGTGGGCAGTGCAGGTGCTGTTGGCCTGTGGGTGGGGTGGTGGGAGGGTGTGGGGCGGTGGGGCGGTGGGAGGGTGTGGGGTGGTGGGAGGGTGTGTGGCGGTGGGAGGGTGTGGGGCGGTGGGAGGGTGTGGGGCGGTGGGAGGGTGTGGGGCGGTGGGAGGGTGTGGGGCGGTGGGAGGAGGGGGTGGAGTGGTATCGTTAGATTTGTGTTTACATTTGATTGGATAAACGAATCTCACATCATTTGTTTGTTTTTTTTAGCTGTTATATGTTATTTAAAAAATTGAATAAAACGGTTAGATGTCACGTCGAATGTCATTTTACTGTGTTCAACTATCATGCGCGTGACATATATGACAGCTGTATATTAAATTATATTTGAATAACACGTGTAGAATTGAGAAAATGGCCAAACAATTTTTAAATAAACTGCATAGGCTGACCATGTGTATTGGAGAGCTTTGTATGGTGTCAAAGTATATGCATAGCTAGGGGAGGGCGCGTGGGGCGACTCCCCGGGCACCGACCCTATGAGGGCGCCAAAAGGGGTAGAGAAATTAATTTAAAAGCTCATTTTAAGCTGAAGTATTGAATTAAACACACTCAAAGTTTCGAAAATAAACGACTACAAGGCTTTACACACTGATTTCTATCAATTTTGTGACACCGAAATAGGCAGTTACGGGATAGTAAATGGTAAAAAGCACAAAAAAATCTTTCCGATGGTGGGGGTGTGGGTGGGGATGGGGGGGGGGGCGCTTTCTCACAGGTAGAAATAATTATGTATACAAATGGGAGAGAAGGGGTGCAAAATTGATAGTCCGCCCCTGGCGCCGGGATAGGTCGCTACGCCTCTGTGCCAAAGAAAACGGTTATCTGAATGACTGAGTCCATGATGGTCCAGATGTTGGATGCCAAAGAAAAGGGTTACCTGAATGACAGAGTCCATCACAGTCAAAGCAAACGGTTACCTGAATGACAGAGTCCATCATGGTCAAAGAAAACGGTTACCTGAATGACGGAGTCCATCATGGTCCAGATGTTGGATGTCAGCTCCACTCTGTCGTACTGGTCAAGCCGGACAAACGTTGACGTACAGTTGCCGGACAGTCGCATGATGGCTGGAACCAATTGGGGGAGATTGTGGTGGGGAACTTGTGTTTAGTTCGCACATTTGCACAATATCCTACTGTCTCTGTGCTACTGTACCCTTGTATATACTGCACTACTGTATTACTGTACTAACATGCTACTGTGCTACTATGCAACTGTATTACTGCACTCATTTGCTACTGTATTACTGTGCTACTATACTACAGTACTACTGTACCACGATACTACAGTGCTACTGTGCTATATGTACTGTTAAGTAACCAGCAGTTGTGATACATTTATATTACTTTACCCGAGTACTAACTTACTGAGGTAATGATGGACGGTGTGTACTGACAGGTGGAGTAATTAGATTATTAATTAAAGTAAATTACATCATCGTCCCTAACACCAACAGGACTGATTAAATACAGAATGCATTTGCCATACTTGAACCAGGTACCCAATTACGCTGAGCCGACTCAGAGACGTCCGACGGACTCAAACCCGGAAACTGAAGGTGAAATATTTTGGTTAGTACTGGCTTGTGGGCTCTACCACTCGACCACGAGTGTAGGCTGAATAGCCTAGCCATATATTCTGCAGGTTTGAGGGTGCTCATGGGATTACAGTTTTAGACTTATTTGTGCAACGTTCTTAGCTTGCAAAAGCGTTTTTAACCAGTAACTTATTTCACATGTATCTTCTGTAATTCATATATCTCAGCTATAATTCACATCACTCACCTGTATTTAGCCTCTCGGAGTCGAAAGGACTCAATGTCGCGTTAGTCAAATTTGACAACAGAAAAATCTGCAAGCCTAAAGATGACAGCGTTGTCATGGCGGCGGTCTGTTGGGGCGGTCTTATGGTGCTGCCAATGTAAAGGAAACACTTCAAACACGTTTGTATGAAGGCTAGTAAAAATGGGAACTTTCATTTCATGAGAAAAAGTTTTTAAACTATAAAATAAAAACAAAAATAAAACAAAGTACACTTATAGATTTTAAAATGTCTTTATGTCAGTTTCATGATACGGCTAAAATTGTATTAACTACTAAACTGACTATTTTGGAAAAGTTTTGAACCACAGATTCTAGTTATAGAAAAATTTTGGACAACTAATCACTGAATCATTTTTATATAGAAAACTCTAAAAAGCCGAAACCAGTTTAAGTAGATCTAGATTTTAACAATTCTCAAAAACAAATTTTTTGCGTTACTAACAATAAGCTAGAAGCTGAACGAGGTGGGTTTGTGGGAATATGGGCATGCCTTAGCCGTAGTCTTCAAAATTGAGCAGAAGGTTTCAGATAAATAAGTTCAATTTTATTCAACTTGAACATTTATAAAAACTTTAAATTTTTGACGCATCATACCAATCACAATATCGGAACTATAAACACCAGATCCAGCGAATCGAAGCATGTACTAATGTTACAACAATTAGTCTAGTTATGTATTACCTTAATTACGATGACCTTGAAACATACCACACGTTGAGCGCGGGACTAAACCTCCGAGGGTGTGACGCTCACGAGTCGTCTGCTCTCCGCTCCAAGATCAATTTCCTGTCGGTCACGTGGCGGGCTCAACCAATGACGTCGTTAGAACATCATGTGTGTGTGTGTGTGTGTGTGTGTGTGTGTGTGTGTGTGTGTGTGTGTGTGTGTGTGTGTGTGTTTGTAGTGTGTGTGTGTCTGGGGGAGGGGCGCTAGTGGACGCTTTGTGTTTGTCTAGAATTTGTAAGAATCTTTTCGAGCAGAATTCCTATGATTAATCTACCAAGATACTAACAACAGAAACAGATTTCACAAAATGTTAAATATCTTACATAAAGTAGTGCGAAGAAAACCTGGTAAAGAGGATCAATAAACAGATGGGGGGGGGGGCAGTAGCGTATCGAGGGGGGGGGGGGGGCTGGGGGGGACATATGTCCCCGGGCGCCGACCTTAGGGGGCGCCAAAATGGGTTGGAAAAATAAATTGAAAGGTTGAGGGGGTTCAAATCGAAAGTTTGAGGGGGGGGGGGGTGCTAATCGAAATCTCGACGGGGGATTGCAAATCGAAAGTTTGAGGGGGGGTGCATATCGAAATCTCGAGGGGGGTGCAAATCGAAAAGTTTGTCCCCGGGCGCCGGGAAGGATCGCTACGCCTCTGGGGGGGGGGGGTAGATGGTAAGGGAGGGGGAAGGCTTTTTTTTTAATCGACAAAACTAGCATGACGTCATTTAAGGATGAAAATTTTTATCTTTATAAAGGTTTTTAAATTATTTAAATTTACAAAGGTTATTTTTTTTTATTTAAAAAATAACATGGTATCGTAGTATTTTGTCATGCATCATTGTTTGGCGGTCAATGTGTCCACCCCCCCCCCCCTCCCCACCCCTATCACCATACACACACCACCTCTCACGCTCCACCTCTGCCCAATTTAATATGACGATTCTTCAGGTTAATGTAATGAAACTGATCAAAACCGTGATCCATTCAATAAAAAACAGTTTGTAATTTTAGTTGGGTTTCACCTATACGACCCCCGGGAACCTAGCGTCTGTACGACCCCCGGGAACCTAGCGTCTGTACGACCCCCTAGTGCCACTACGGTCTTGTGTCTGTAGCAAGCAGAAATGAGCTTATACATATTGATGAGATATTGATCCCCAATGATTGATCTCTGAATGCCATATTTTTTCCCATCTCCATTTAGCATCGCAAGATTCGGGGGACTAAACATCGGCACACCCCCCCCCCCCCCACCCAGACAGATGGTCGCCATCCTGGCACCAGACGACGCGGGTTGTCCCAGACAAGTTTAGACCGTTGGTTCAAGCGGTTTTTATTCAGATTCTATTTACTCTCTGACGCGGTCTTGCGTGCATATGTACTAGATTCTAATACGAGAGGGGAGGTGAAGGGGTAAATATAAAAAAAAAACTCTCCAGTCAATGTTGTGTTTTGTTACGAGCTTTCTTTGAGTTTGCTTCTTTATAAGCTTAACAATAACAAATTGTAAAAACAACAAGTCCACAGCTATTAGTTACATGAGTCTCTGTGAACAAATAAATTTAAAAAAAAAAAGAAAACCCAAATGAGATTGTAATGGTTGTCAATATAAAATGAGTCAGCTTTTGATACTCTTAATTTAATGTGGATACACAATTTTTAAATCTAAATACGAGGAATAGAATCTGCATCTTGATCTATATTCTTTGGAGTTTCTGACTTCTAATAAAATAAAACACCTAGCATTGTTGTTTGCTAGCAGTGATACTTTTATGATAGCGAATAATAAGATTATTTGTTTTTTGACACAAGGGAAGCAATCGCATTGCGAACAAATGTAAAATTAACTCGGTTATCTCTCTTAGACTTCAAGATCACCGTTGAGTCCATGAGTTAAATTATATGTCGAAATTGGACAATTTATGTATTTATGAGTCGAATTAATTATACAATTAATTAAATTATAAGTTAACTGTGCACGTACATGTATACTTGTCTATGTAGGTTAGAGGGATTTTTCATTTTTTTTGAGTATTTTTTTCTCTCTAATTTACATATATACAATTTAAAAAATGACTAAAATAAAGCAAAGGTATTGGTAGAATCTCTTTATTTATCACAATTATCATAAGGAGAAAAAAAAAGACATTTTTATTTCCTACAACAAATGTAAGGGAGGCAACCAAGTTAATAAAACAAACTAAACCGAGTTACCGTTCGTAACCCCTTTGAAAGAGAGTTCCTCACAGTACTTCAGCTCTCAACATCTGCTACACCTTCATCTTGTTAGTCTATTTACATTTCTTCAAACGATTAGTCTTGTGTTTAATCCAACTCAAAATAACAATAATATTTTATAAAACTCCAAGTCATTCTTGAGTCAAATGAAACAGTTCTGGTTTTATTTTTCAAATTAGTATTTAAAAAAAAAATATAAACATATAAATGATCACATCATTTTACCAGGAAAAAAAAAAAATATTTTTTCAAGTTGTCTGCGGTTAAGCAAGCAGTAAAATTAAATAAAATCAATATCAAACTAAATATTTCTAAAAACAAATTGATATCACTTGTTATTGTAACACTAATGATGGGGGTTTGACATTATCAAATCAGGTGGCAGGTTTTAAAAGATGAATAACATGTTGAATTTAACACTGTAGGATTCTAGGCATAAATCTACACCTTCTTTCATAGACAGAATAGGTTTAAGAGAACTGGATGGGCAGATTGTTGTATTAGTTTAAAGACAGGTATTTCAAATTGGAAAAAGTCCTTCAATAACATGCTTTAAATGAATATAATTTGAATTTTTATAGTTACTTTTAAGGAGAAACTAAAGTTACTATAAAAAAGAGTGTTAAAATTGTAACTCTCTGTCAAGACACAATGGTAAAATAGACATTTAACAAACTTTTCTCCAATATTTAACATTTCAAATAGTCTTCATTTTTAGACTAACAATGACATATTGTGGTTGAAAAATATTCACGTAACTTCTCGTAGCAAATATACTATTAATTATGTGGTGGAAAAATATGTTAATAATTTATGGTTCAAATCGATATGTCATTGATTCTGTTGTGTCCCAAGCGAGTTTTTTTTAGTCATTTTTGGACATTTTCTTGCTTTATATTTGTATTCTAATTTGCTTTTACAATAAATTGATACTTTAAAAAAAAAATCTTCAATATGTTAGAAATGTCTGAATATCATTCTTCTTATGATATTACGTATATCAAAACTCTTTTCCTAATCTGTATATCAAGTCTTATCCTAATCTGTATATCAAAAGTCTTATCCTAATCTGTATATCAAAAGTCTTATCCTAATCTGTATATCAAAAGTCTTATCCTAATCTGTATATCAAAAGTCTTATCCTAATCGGTATATCAAAAGTCTTATCCTAGTAGTTTGTGCTAGTACAAACTCATTATACTTACTGGGAGATAACAAATCAACTACAAGAAGAAACATTACGTCCCCTTACAGGGTGTGTCATTACAAGAAGAGCCCCACTGCCCCCACACATGTGAGGGTCAGGGGTCGGCCCATCACATCTGTGAGGGTCAAGGTCAACCCGCCACATTTGTGAGGGTGAAGGGTCGCCCCACTACTGAGTTTGTTAATAAGTGGGAATAAGGATGGAAATAAAACAAAGTTTAAAGGATTCTGATAAATATCTTACAAACTGTAAAAACCTCAAACAGAGGATAGCATGAAAAAAAACTATATGGCATACGTCGTTATGTGCCTGAATGGTATGTCAAGCATGGTGGGATACGTCTTTCTTGAAACTTATCGATCGACTACGTACTTGACTAAATCTCTGACTACATCAGTAGTCAAGTATTCTAATTACCTATGTAATCAAGAACTTATACAAACTGCAAATCCAATCAGGGTTTAGTAATTTTAAAAGCTTAATGAAGCCATAGTTAATGACTGTCCCCCATGTTAAATAACCAAACCAGGCAGTAACAATACGTCAAAAAAAAAACATTAACATTCTCAAAAAAATATTTCTGCAACAGAATGTAACATTGAAAGTACTTGAAAGCATGTGAACAAAACAGACAAAATCATTGGTTAGGAAAATTAGTTACAAAATTAATTATATCGGTGGTGAGCAAGGTGGAACAGACTAACCTCATCACACATCACTCACTGTGACCTCAGCAATATACATCTCTAGCATTCACATTATAAACATCACAAAATTTCTCACTTCCCAATATTAGGAAATCAAATTATATATATATATATATATATATATATATATATATATATATATATATATATATATATATATATATATATATATATATATATATATATATATATATATATATATATATATATATATATATATATATATACAGGCACACATTTTCATTTTTTATACAAGTACAAAAGTAAAACAGTTATGCATTTTATGGCTAATAAAGTAAATAGACTAAGTTATAAATAGTAGACTTGTTTGCTAAACCACTAGCAACAATTACTAATAATCACTCTCTGAATAGGTATTTCTATGGCAAAAGAGATTAAAATAGTTACACAAATTTTCTTATAAAAGATTTTTATACAAATCATAAATCTAATGTTAGAAAAAACTAAGTTTCAACATAAAAAAAAAAAATAAAAAAAAAAAACAACAACATGGCAGCAACAAATACATGATTGAGGACATGAATACATGTTTCATGGTTAATTAAAAACTGTGATCACTGTAACAATATAACAAGAAACAAATCAACCTTAAGTGTTGATGGGAAAAAGATTTAGAGGCCCCTGGCTTTAAGACACAAAGCTCTTTTACAACCAGTTAAATAACAGAGGTGTTCACTGAATGGTGTGTGGCATATTCATACAGGTGGTAATGGTGTCTGACACCTTGGCAGAGGTGCTGATGTACTTTTTCTATGGTGTTCCACAGCGGAGTGACCTTATACAGGTGTTGTTGAACAAGTTAAAAGTGGTGTTTTGTACATTTTGTAATAACTAAACACTAAACATGATGTTATGGCCATACACCAATGGTATCATCCTGTACTAAATCAACAAAATAACATGTAAATGTGTGATATACAAAAAAGCCACACGTCTTTACAGTGTATCTAATCCCTAAACATGAGTTCAGATTTCTGTATCTAAAATAAAAATCAACCCACTTGTCATAGAAATATCACTAGTTCAGGTTTTTTCTACTTTTACTATGTGATTATATAACCATAGATTATCATTGTGTTTACAGTTAACTAGGATTTTTTTTGCACCATTTTTGTTCCAAAATGGGATTTGATTATTGTTAAATTAACAAACATAACAATCATATATTTTTTATAAGTGTCGTTAAACAAAACATTCTAGTTGGTTTAACAGTAGGACATTCTGGTTGGTTTAACAGTAGAACAGCATGGTCATGTGACCAAACCAGTGCTATATACACCCATACAAGTATAACAATGATATATAAGGCGATCGTTGGGGGTGTGTTCATTTTTTAACAAAGGCACATCAAGCAACAGTGATGTCAACACGCATCCGTCACACACAGGGGGTGGGGTGGGGGGTGTCACACCAAATGGTGGTGTATGTTACACACCATGAGGGTGAAGGTCATGTTATAAGGGGTGAAGGTCACACCATAAGGGTGAGGGTAAAAAATTGAAGTTAGAGTCACTGCGATAATTAATTAGAGGGAGAGATTCTCTTGTATAGGGGGATACTTGGAAGGGGTGCTTTACATGTGTACTATGTGGCGAATACAACCATCAGGAGACTCAACATGGGGGGGGGGGGTACATTTGCCTAAAACTTTAAGGGCTTGGGCTTGGTTTTACAGGGGGGGGGGGCGGATGTTACAAAAAAATTTTAAAAGGATAAATATGTTGTTTTGTTAAGTAGAAAGTGAGGGGAGGGGGTGGGGGTGGAACAGATTCTTGCAGACGATCAGATTATTCAACATGAGCAAGAGCTGGCAGTTTGGTGGTGAGCATGTTCGTTGGTGAGTATGGCGGCTGGGTGGTGACACAGGGAACTAATGGTGTGTGGTGGTGACACAGTGAACTAATGGTGTGTGGTGGTGACACAGGAAACTAATGGTGTGTGGTGGTAACACATGGAAGTAATGGTGTGTGGTGGTGACACATGGAACTAATGGTGTGTGGTGGTAACACATGGAACTAATGGTGTGTGGTGGTGACACATGGAACTAATGGTGTGTGGTGGTGACACATGGAACTAATGGTGTGTGGTGGTGACACATGGAACTAATGGTGTGTGGTGGTGACACACGGAACTAATGTTGTGTGGTGGTGACACATGGAACTAATTGTGAATGAAGTGACACATGGAACTAATGGTGTCTAGTGGTGACACAGGGAACTAATGCCGTGTGGTAATCGAGTGGTGAAACAGGGAATATCAACAGCGGACGATAAAACAATACGCTTATTTAGAAATTCCTCAAGTCTGAACTGCCAGACAGGAAACAGCCAGTACAACTCTCGCCAACAAACAGATTCCCCACTGCCCTCTACTCTAATAAATGACCGCCCCATCCCTAGCAGAACCTCTACTCCATATGTCGTCCTGCACCGCGTTGATCAGTCAATGAACAAAGCGCAGGTGCACTCCATACGTCCATGTCACATGACGACAACAAACCACATTTGGGCTAATCTTCGGGACAGTGAAAAACTACAGCCGGATCGGAATTTTCCATTATTGTTTGGAACGTCCCGTACACTTGCGCACCGGTGCAGCACGGTGCGCATGTCAGGGGGGCAAGACTGTGCCGACAGGGGGTGTCACGAGGGGATAAATCTCAAGAGTTAGGTCCCCGTGGATGTCGTAAATTCATTAAGGACTTCACGGTCAGAGGGCGGGTTGAAAGACAACACTAATTACAACACTAAGCCCTAGGTAAATCTGATGAAGATTTTCTTTTTATTACAGTGACAAAAACGGCACTGTTCTTCAGTCCGTATGGATAGGTGGCTTGTCGCTAGCTTGTGTAGAACTATTGCAGGAGGAGATTGGAAAATCTAAATAGAACTACGGAGCAATCGAGAGATCAGTGCGACTGCGAGCAGCACTATGGAGCTACAATGTTAGTATGAGTAGAACTACTAAGCTCCAATGGTTCAATATAACTATGAGCAAAACTACGCAGCTAACGGGAGTTCAATACGAGTATATGCAGAACTATGGAGCTAAGATTATAGATCAACAGCTAGACAGAGTTTTGTTAGAGTGTTGAAAGAAACACACAGTTGTAAAATATTATTAGCACCCCTCCAATAGAAAAATGTTTGGAACACCTATAACGATAGGAACGATTCCAAGTAGAATTGATACATGTTCTTGATACATGATACAAGATGAGCTATTCCAAGTAGACCGTAAAGACACGACTATCCTTGATACATGATACAATAGGAGCTATTCCAAGTAGACTTTAAAGACTCGACTGTCCTTGATACATGATAGGAACTATTCCAAGTAGACCGTAAAGACTCGACTGTCCTTGATACATGAATAATAGGAGCTATTCCAAGTAGACCATAAAGAACGACTATCCTTGATACATGATATAATAGGAGCTATTCCAAGTAGACCGTAAAGACACGACTATCCTTGATACATGATATAAAGGTTTCTTTGGCCTCGATTTGTGTTGTAGCTGGTGCTATCTCGCTTTGACAACCAGCTTACAGCTGTAACTACGGCTGTCACGTCCGTCCGACGGCTACTATAATAGGCTCATGAAAGGCCTTGACAAGCTGTCTGGTCATTAACTGTCCAAAGTAACTTAGCCTCAAATCTATCAAGTCCGTTATTACGTCTTTTGTTTCAGATAACTCAAAGCACATAAAATCGAATCTAATTATATTTGACAATTGATATAAATATTGGAGAAAACTCATTATCCTTTTTTTAGCCAATGCTCGGGAAATTAGTAAGTTTAGCTTGGATAATTCGGACACATCTTGGACAATTGCCCAGCAAATGTCGGTCAAAGCTCAGACAAAAGTCGGACAAAGCTCAGAAAATCTCCGACAAATGTCGGATAAATTTCAAATGTCGGACAACTGTCGGTCAAATCTCAGACGATTGTTGGTCAATATCGGACAAATCTCCGACCAATGTACGCTGTTAGTGCAATGAACAAGCTCCCATAACGGAGCAGCCAGCAAGACTCTGGTCATCTGGTGGTCACGGCACGTCCTTCACTGGCCACCACAAAAATAAACTTCAAAATAAAATCAAACAAAAAAAAACGCGCTAGATCCGAACTGAATGAGATGGAACGAGGAAAATGCCGGCTGCCTGTAGAAAGGGCAGCTGGCACTGAAGGGAACTCTAGAACACTCTGTTCTGTCGTCATGGCAACTAAACGGTTCGAATAAATACAACAAACAAAAAAAAAACATGGAGGTAATGTGCGAGAAATAAATCCAGTGAAAAGATGCACGTGGTGTCGTATGTGGCTGAGGCGATGGACAGTGCAAGAACGTGGCATGACCGTCGAGACGAGAGCGTGCTGGTTCGAGTCCGTGTCGAGCTGGGGAGAGGGGGGGGGGGGTGGTTTACACAACACAGTAGCATGTGGGCGTGTCACACACATTACTCACACTAACGCGAGTAATCAACTCACGGTAATGCCATCCTGGATAATTGATACACAGTGACACGAAAAGGTCATGGTCACATAGCTTGAATAATCTGCTGTTGCTGTTCTATCTATCTACATCAACAGTTAATGGTTACATCATTGGATGAGAAACATCTGGAACGTTAGAGGCTCCAGTGGTCTGGACACAAGAAAACAGGTCACGTGACCGGGGGTCCAGTCGTCTGTACACAATACACATTTCTAGCACTGGCGCGAGTGCAGCGTTGAATGTTTAAAGTTCTGTATATACCATGCACTAGTACTCACGAGAAAGTCAACGGCACATCGAATAACAAGCTCGTTACACGAAAAAGCAGGTCCAGAATGACGGATGACCTTTGAGGTAAAGGTCAAGGGTTGAAACAAATTTCTTGAGTGACAAGTTGTTTTTTTTTTATATATATATTTGGTTGGTGTTTAGCGAGTGTCAGCGGGTTGGACGTTACCCCCCTCTGTTCATTGTCAGAGGACAGGGATGGTCCGGGTTGGCGTGGAGACCAACCCCGGGGTCCCGAGGTTGTCGACCCCCGATGACGACGATGCGGTGAAGCTGCCCACCAGCGGGGAGAAGGCCAGGGGTCCGTTGAAGAATCCAGGAAACTGGAAGGCCGAGCCGGAGGAGCTGAGTCGTGGGCTGAGGGTGGTGACTGGGCTTAAAGAGGTCCAGAAGTGGACGGGGTGCATGGGGCTGGATAAGAACAAGGGGGTGGGGAGCCCGTGGAAGGCGGACATTGGGTGCTTGGCGGAGGGGGAGATGATGGGCATTTGTGTAGAGACGGGGGTCAGGGGGGAGCTGCCTAAAGACGGCACCCCCAGGCTGATGGGGCTGGGTTTGGGCTTGCAGGAGGAGGAGGATGTGATGACGGGCCGGGGGGAGGAGGTGCTGAGGTGGCTGGAGGTGATGTAGGGGGAGGGGGTGGGGGAAGGGGATCGGGTCGAGCAGGAGGATGACGAAGGCGGGGTGAGGGTGGTGGAGGAGGATGCGGTGGTCTTAGAGAGGTTCATGGCGGTCATGGGAGGGGAGGGGTTGTTGCGGAGGGGTGAGTACTCCCTCCTCCCGTGGCTGATGACCGGGCTGGCGCTCCTGCCCCGGGGGCTGCACACGCGGATCTCCGGGTTGCTGTAGATGTTGTGGCTGCTGTGGCTGTGGTGGCTGCCGCCGCTGGACGTGCGGGGCGGGGCGTTCAGCGGCTCGCGGTCGCGGTGCGACGGCTCCGGGCTCAGGTACAGCGGCGTCCAGCTGCTTCGGATCCGATGCCGGTCCTCGTCTTCTGAGCGGTGGTGGTGGGCGTGGTGTGGATGGTGGTGGTGCGCGTGGTGTAGCGGTGCGTGCATGGGGTGGTGGTGGTGGTGGTGGGATGGTGCTGGCTGGATGATGGAGCTCATCCTATGCGGGTCTAAATTCTCTCGAATCTCTCGCTCGCTCTCGCGTTGTTCGCGTTCTCTGGAAACGTACGGGTCAGGTGACCTCTTCTCCAGGTCCAGGGGTCGTTGTTTGGCTGACGTCATGATTCTGTCGTCGTTGTCTTCAGCGGTGTGAGCCTGCTGGCTCGCCTGCTGTTTGTGGAGTGAGTACTTCAAGGCCGCATCCTGGCTGGCCTTGATCTCTTGCGGGTTGTAGGAGGCGAAGTGTGGCAACACCCTCTGGCCGTACTCGTGAGCCAGTGACTCCATCTTGACCTGCAAGAAAAAACTCAGGTCAAACACTATGTTGGCACCAAAAGACAAACATCCATTACTTAACAGTTCTGTGAGACCCATCTTTCCTAGGTGAGATGTAATTAAGGTAAAAAAAAAGTTGTTTATAGTTATGCGAAAATGTATTAGTCCAAACTGCATATTGCTTTAGCCTACCCACTTTCACATTTTCCCCCTTGACTCAATATCTCCGCTAAATAAGTCGACAATATTTAACTTGGCAGAGAGTTTTAGCCTGCGAAACTGTGCCAAAGTCGTGATTGCTTTGTGGTCTAGACGCATTTAGCGACCACTGAAGCATAAGTACATGCACGCATAAGCTAAGTATAGATAATTGAATTTTTCGTTTAACTTGTCTTGAAAAAAAATTTTATATGTTAATTTTTTTTAATTATTTGAGAGCTAATTTAGTTTTTGGCTTATTTTGAAAAGTACCTTTTTTGCATCCTTTAAAATAAACTGAATTTTAATTTTGAGGAATTTGCGTATAAAGTTGCCAAATTTGACAAAGTTGACATGTACTTGGACTTTAGACTTACTTTGAAAGGGACTTTGGTCTCTGTTTTGACGATCTCCGGAAAAGAAACGAACTTGTAGACGAACTTCTGTCCTAGGGACTTCTTGATGATGTTCTTGTCGTAATAGTAGCGCAGAGCTCGGCTCAGCTTGTCGTAGTTCATGTTTTGCTTGTTCTTCCTCAGCCCCCACAGACGGGCCACCTCCTCGGCGTTGACCAGCTTAAACTCGCCCTCCTGGCTCGTCCAGTGGATGATGTTCTGGTGCTGGTTGTTCAGTAGCAGCTCCAGCAGGAACTGCCACAGGGTTATGTTCGAATCCATGGCTGGGGAGGGGAAAAAACGTTACAAATATTGGGTGAGTCTACTACTTGGGTGAAGGGGTGAACAAATACAAATGGTGGACGAGTTCATGGCTGGAGAGGGGAAAACATTACAAATATTGGGCGAGTCCATGACGGAAGTGAAAGGGAGAACATAAACATACACATATTGGGCGAGTCTACTACTTGAGAGAACGGGAGAACAAACCATTAAACATGATAGAGACTAATGACAGGGGTGTAAGGGGCAAACGATATTAACTGATGGAGGATCCGTTGTTGAAAAAACAAAAGAGAATGTGTTTACTGTTGGCGAGACAGGAGGAAATGATTAAAATATATGGACGAGTCCATAGATGAAGAGGGGAGGTGTAAGTATAATGGTAATACAACATAAAACTAATAGTAATTTATAAATAAAATGTGTTTTGTGCAATACATAGTCAGAAGAAAATCTCAGGAAACTACTCAGAAAATGTAATTTCAGTGGGGAAGGGGGAGATTTTCTTTTAAAACTGGAACAGGTAATGTTTGTACAGTTTAAAAAGTTGGAATAAATGGCACAGGGTACAACAGTCCCGCGGGTTAATCCGATGTTAAATGCTTTTCTGTGTCGCGTAACAGGCAGGGAGCTGGTTCGTGGGGCTCTGTCCCGTACAGGGAAGGGATCGGTGCTAGTCATATATCTGGTAGTATTAGTGGTTGTAACGGTACTAGTCATATATCTGGTATATCTAGTAATATATCTGGCGGTATTGGTGGTTGTCACTGTACAAGTAATATATCTGGTGGTATTGGTGGTTGTCATTGTACTAGTAATATGCCCGACGTTATTCGTGGTTGTAATGGTACTAGTAATATATCTGGCGGTATTGGTGCTTGCCACTGTACTAGTAATATGCCCGACGTTATTCGTGGTTGTAATGGTACTAGTAATATATCTGGCGGTATTGGTGCTTGCCACTGCACTAGTAATATGCCCGACGTTATTCGTGGTTGTAATGGTACTAGTAATATATCTGGCGGTATTGGTGCTTGCCACTGCACTAGTAATATGCCCGATGTTATTCGTGGTTGTAATGGTACTAGTAATATATCTGGCGGTATTGGTGCTTGCCACTGCACTAGTAATATGCCCGATGTTATTCGTGGTTGTAATGGTACTAGTAATATATCTGGCGGTATTGGTGCTTGCCACTGCACTAGTAATATGCCCGATGTTATTCGTGGTTGTAATGGTACTAGTAATATATCTGGCGGTATTGGTGCTTGCCACTGTACTAGTAATATGCCCGACGTTATTCGTGGTTGTAATGGTACTAGTAATATATGTCCGGCGGTATTCTTAGTTATCAAGGTACTTGTAATATACGTAGCTTCACTAGAAAGAGTTACAGTCAGTTTATATATACAAAGGGTTACACCAATGGCGATTTGTGAAAAGTATTTTTTTTTTAAAAAAAAAAAGATTACTTGGACATGTGGGTCTTTAATTTTTATAAATTTGATATTTTGATCCATAACTCAATCACTGCATGTCAAAGGTCGACTACTCTGACAACAACAAAATTACTTCCCCTTATTTACAAAACTGCCCTACAGCTGATGACAAATCAAAATGGCGTCGGCGAAGAAAAAAAAAACAACGACCGAATCATGTGATTTAAACATTTTGTTTTTAAAGCAAGGGAGATAAATGTAGGAGCCGCGAGCTCTAATCTCGCGAATTCATCCAAGCGAGACCGGGCTGACACAGTACCATCTCCTGCATGTTGCATGTCCGGTCCAGGTAAAGCCCAGATTTGTCAGCCCTGGCAGCTCGCTGCAATCGTCTGCTGGGATGCATTAGACGCGAGTTAGTTCAGAGGTCACCGACCTTTTGCGGGTAGAGAACTCATTTATTTTATTATATTTTTTTTTATTTTTTTTTTTCCGAAAATTAATAAAGTATTTCTGAAGAAATAAATGGGGTGGGGTGACGGGTGGGGGAAAGGGAGAAGGTGGGCGGGGCAAGGGAGGTCAGCCAAAAATGTCAATGCGATAAAGTTATCGTACTTTATACTTCAAATTGCAAACACTCTATTAAAGAAAATGTTATGTGTTGAATTGATTCATTGTATGCATGGACTGATAAGTAAAATATAACTCAAAAAACACATATTTATATGTACATATAAGTATATATATATATATATATATATATATATATATATATAAGTTGTGGTAAATAGCTCATGCTCCACATCTAGGATAAAAACTGGCTTATTCTATTTTAAGTTGGTACAATTCTTACCATATGTTCTTTTCATAAACAACAAAACAACGGATCAATAGCTGCTTTTAGTTAACATGGACTGTCCAGACAAAACCACCAAACATGGACTGTTTAGACAAAACCACCAAACATGGATTGTTCAGACAAAACCACCAAACATGGACTGTTTAGACAAAACCACCAAACACGGACTGTCCAGATAAAACCACCAAACACGGACTGTCCAGATAAAACCACTAAACATGGACTGTCCAGATAAAACCACCAAACGGACTGTCCAAACAAAACCACCAAATATGGACTGTATACCAGACAAAACCACCAAACACGGACTGTCCAGATAAAACCACCAAACATAGACTGTCCAAACAAAACCACCAAATATGGACTGTATATCAGACAAAACCACCAAACATAGACTATATACCAGACAAAACCACCAAACATAGACTATATACCAGACAAAACCACCCCAAACCTAACAATACCATGATCCCAAACCTGACCGTGTCTATAAAAGGGTACAGATCTACTTTTAGCCGCGGCTAATGGTCTCAAGGACCAGGGGACAAACCAAACACAACCAAAGTGCTTTGTTAATTATCTAATCACGAAGCTTAAGATAAATGTGTCCTCCATTACGATCCATATCAGACCCATGGCACTCAAACATAAACATGCGTTGACAGGACTGTTTCCTGTGGGGTATTTGATTTCATTCAAAGACAACTCCTTCTTTTTTAAGACAGATATAATGTATGTTTTAAATAGACCAGTATGAAATGTTAACATATAATAAATGTTGGAATAATAAAATTCCATCGCCTACAATAAAATTCATGGCACATATCTGGTACAAAAATTAATTGGTGCCATTTGATATTTAGGAGCCAAAATGATATGCTTCATTGACATACAGAAGGCAATATTGTGGTTATGAAGATAATGCTGTAATAGCATTTAGTTTCCATACAGCATCTGCTCTCTGTTCCTAAAGTCTCTCAGCCGCTACTCTAAGCTACATACAAACAAATTGAAAATAAATAAGCACATTCGAAAGATAAAGAAAAAAAAGAAATCTAACAAAAACAGCGCGCCGAAAATCCGAGCAAAAAACTGATTTCTTCGTGAAGTTTGTCAGCAGATTTAGAGGCGCAGGGTGTGTGGACACTGATATTTCTTCTTTTATGCACGTAGGCTAGGGTGGGGGTAGGGTGTGTGTGTGGGGGGGGTCAACACAGAACATAAGTTTAACTGTCCGGGTGAGAGGTTTAACACAACAAATAATTTGCAGTGAAGAGTTTAACTCAAAACGTAAGCTAAAGCGTGCTGTTTTGCACAGAAGGTAAGTTGAAGCGAGTTGTTATACAAAACGTAAGTTGAAGCGCGTTGTTATACAAAACGTAAGTTGAAGCGAGTTGTTATACACATAACGTAAGTTGAAGCGCGTTGTTATACACAGAACGTAAGTTGAAGCGTGCTGTTTTGCACACAACGTAAATTGAAGCAAGTTGTTTAACCCAGACTTCCCGTTCCCCTCCCACACGGCAATAGAAAAATGTGAAGTTAGTTTCAACATCCAACGTCACAGCTTATAGTGTTTATTTAAGTAGCAGCGTCTGGGAGTTTACACACATCTAGTTCTACAGGGCATAGAGTTTACACACATCTAGTTCTACAGGGCATAGAGTTTACACACATCTAGATCTACAGGGCATAGAGTTTACACACATCTAGATCTACAGGGCATAGAGTTTACACACATCTAGTTCTACAGGGCATAGAGTTTACACACATCTAGTTCTATAGGGCATAGAGTTTACACACATCTAGTTCTACAGGGCATATTGGGAGAGTTTACACACATCTAGATCTACAGGGCATAGAGTTTACACATCTAGATCTACAGGGCATATTGGGAGAGTTCACACACATCTAGATCTACATGTCATAGAGTTTACACACATCTAGATCTACAGGGCATAGAGTTTACACACATCTAGATCTACAGGGCATATTGGGAGAGTTTACACACATCTAGTTCTACAGGGCATAGAGTTTACACACATCTAGATCTACAGGGCATAGAGTTTACACACATCTAGATCTACAGGGCATATTGGGAGAGTTTACACACATCTAGTTCTACAGGGCATAGAGTTTACACACATCTAGATCTACAGGGCATATTGGGAGAGTTCACACACATCTAGATCTACATGGCATAGAGTTTACACACATCTAGTTCTACAGGGCATAGAGTTCACACACATCTAGATCTACATGGCATAGAGTTTACACACATCTAGATCTACAGGGCATATTGGGAGAGTTTACACACATCTAGTTCTACAGGGCATATTGGGAGAGTTCACACACATCTAGATCTAGAGGGCATAGAGTTTACACACATCTAGATCTAGGGGGCATATTGGGAGAGTTTACACACATCTAGTTCTACAGGGCATATTGGGAGAGTTTACACACATCTAGATCTACAGGGCATAGAGTTTACACACATCTAGATGTACAGGGCATAGAGTTTACACACATCTAGATCTACAGGGCATAGAGTTTACACACATCTAGATCTACAGGGCATATTGGGAGAGTTTACACACATCTAGATCTACAGGGCATAGAGTTTACACACATCTAGATCTGCATGGCATATTGGGAGAGTTTACTCACATCTAGATCTACAGGGCATAGAGTTTACACACATCTA